TTAGGAATTATTTTTGCATTTAGGAGTACATCTGTATCATATAAATTATTGTAATAAAATATAGGTCGCTTTTAAAAGGCCCACCTACTGAAACTGTATGTTTTAGGAAGTTGTTGAGGGTTTTCATACCAGAGATAACATTAAAAAAACTCAAACCTGCAACATCATGTAAATTGTTAGTACAATATACTAAAAATCTTTTGTACCAATTGATTAAGCATATGATTTAGAGAAATCATTCGGCTTCATTTACTGCTTTAAATATTACATGTATTATTATAACTTGCAACTAATTATGACTGTAGTTGGCACTCTAGAAATTTAGTTGTGTAAGTCCAGGGTGTGGTGCCATGAGCACTACAAAGAGGAATAAGAAACAGTCCCTGCCCTGAGAAAGCTGATGTCTAGTTGGGGCTATAAGAGTTCATATGAAAAGGAGGGACGAGCGTCCTGGCTCATGCCTGTAATCTCAGCACTTTGGTCAGGAGTTTGAGAACAGCCTGGCCAATATGGTGAAGCCCTGTCTCTACTGAAAACACAAAAATTAGCTGAGTGTGGTGGCGTGTGCCTGTAGTCCCAGCTACTTGGGAGGCTGAGGCATGAGAATCCCTTGAACATAGGAGATGGAGATTGCAGTGAGCTGAGATCATGCCCCTGGACTCCAGCGTGGTGACAGAGCAAGACTCGGTCTCAAAAAAAAAAAAAAAAACAAAAAACAAAAAACAAAAACAAAAACCAAAAACAAAAACAAACCAGTCCATATGAAAAGGCAACTAACATCCAAGCAAGATTAACTAGAATCTCATAACTGGTGGAGAAGTAACAGCTTTGGAAGATTCAAAGGGTCAGAGCTCACTTTAAAAATCAGACATAGGGGTGGGTAAGTGGGGTAGTTAAGAAACCTGGCCATGGACTAAGGTATATTTGAATTGAAACTTGCTGGGTGAAAAGAGTGGTTATTTTTCTTGAGAGCTGAAAAGAACACACAAGAAGATCAAAACACATAAAGACACACATAGCACATCGAGAAAGTCAGGTTTCTGGTCAGTAGACCAGCTGGCTGGAGCACAGCAGAGATGTGCAAGGGGTAGCAAGATGAGGTTTTGAATTTAAGGAGGGTATGAACTGTGGTGCATGCCATTAGGAGAATTAGGTAGAGAAAAAGGCTAGACTGACAGCTCTTCTACGGTACTGACTAATCAGAGCTAAAGTACATTGAATGAATTAGCACACAGAAAGACCTTACCACAGTGCCTATTACAAAGCAAGTGTTCCATGAGCGACATCAGCATTACTGTTACTGGGCTGAGGTGTGCAGAATGATCTTGACACCTCTAGCCACTTTATGCCAAACACATCAAACATTGACTCTTCATTCCTTATCCTCCTCACCAAACTGTTTCTGCTCATCTCCTCCAGCACAGCAAGTGATGGAATCGTTCAAGCCATGAACCCTTTTCTCACCACTCTCTATATCCGGCCCACAACCAGCCAGGCCCTATCCTTTCTGCTTCCAAAATATATTTTTTACCATTCCACTTTCCTTTGTCTTCACTGTCATCATCCTGCATTTACTTAGACTTCTGCAATGGTTTCCTGTTCACATTTCCATTTTTGCTACCCTACAATATATTTTCAATTCAGAATGGTCTTTAATATAGAAACAGGGCATCATGGCGGTATGCACCTGTAGTCCCAGCTACTCAGGATTGCTTGAGCCCAAGAATTTGAGGCTCTAGTGTGCTATGATAGTACCTGTGAATAGTCACTGCATTCCAGCTTGGGCAACATAGTGAGACTATATATATATACTTCATTTTCCTGCCTGTTCATTCTCACTGCATCTCGCTTTCCCTTTGTTGACCAATGCACTAGACTTGATGCTTTCATAGCTTAGGCCTACTGAGGTTCTATTCCCTCTGTCTGAAATACCTGCCTGCCCACTGTACCCTTGTCTATCTAGCTCTTTCTTATTCTTCAGGTGGCAGCTTCAGCATCACCCTCTCAGAGGCTTCCCACGAGCATCAAATCTAAAGCAGGTTCTGTTCCCCCCAACTCCCATTGTGGGCTAATTCACCCATTGCTCTTCCAATGCCTTCACAGCAAATGGCCCTATGCGAAGGTGTACTTATATTTTTGTATTTGCTGGTTTTATGTCTATACTGGATGCTTTCAAGTAGAGGTATTAAAAAGTCAATTCAACTGATCTTAAACAATAGGACATTTTATTATCTCCCATAAGCGGAAATCCGGAGGTAGGATGGGATTCAGAGCTGGCTGAGTCAGCAGTTTAAGATGTCCTATTCTTTCATTCTCTGTACTCCACTGTCCATGGCATCAGTGTCACCCTGAAGCTGCTGACACTGGTGAAAGAAAGATGGCAGCCAGCTAGGATAGATGTTACCTGCTGGCTTCTTCACATTTACTGGGAGACAGAGTCTTTCCTTGCAACCCAAGTCCTTTCAGTCAGATTGAACCAAATTAGGTCACATGTTCCCCCTACCATCAGGAAAAATGCTTTATGCTATTTGCAGTGAGTCTTAGTTTCTGATCAAATAAGTAGGATGGATTTATTATTCTTGTCATAGGACTAAGAAATCCAACTCTATGACTGAAGTCAATGGAATTGTGGGATAAACAATCCTGGGAGTGCAATACTGGGGAGTCAACCCTGTTATCCACTTACATCTCCACATTCAGTATGGAAAAGGCTCATGCCTGTTTCATTCATTCCTATGTACTCAACTTCAGGCCCTCTTGCTTTTAATTCAGTGCTCACCACCCCAAGCAATGACAAGAAAGTATGTGTGGCTTAAAAAGAGATGGAGGGCAACAAACAGTATTGAAAAAAGGCGCTGAAGTCAAAACTTTGGAGAACCCCTTTATTTAGGGCACACATTCTCAATGCAGGAGATACTGCCTCTAAAGAAGTGAAAACGAATTATTGCAGAAGGAAAAGAAACGGAGATTACAATGATTTGTGTCTCTCCAAAATGCAACCCAATCCAAAGAAAACCTTATCCTCTAGTATTTAATTTCCCTTGTTAGGGAGAATTTAAATTAAATTAAAATTTCTTCCTCAAGGGGAGGGAGCAATAATTAATAAAAATGAGAAACATTGAATTATGGGACAAGAGAAGGAAGAGGCCATAATGAGCAATTTAGGGCTGATGAGAGAGAATGGAGGAAATCTAGAAAAATCTCAATCTCAATGTGTGTACTTAACTATTAAAAAATATCTAGTTATAATGCCTAGTAATAGATATAGAAACTTAAAATTCTTTTTAACTAAAACATTAGGAAAAATTCCTGAATATGGCATTCTATCTCAGTCAGGAAAATCATTACTCCTCCTCTTCTGAAACAGACCAAAAAGGACATAGATGAGGCCTGGCTGGTATGGGTTTTTTGTTTGTTTTGTTTTGTTTTCAGAAAGGGTCTCACTTTGTTGCCCAGACTAGAGTGCAGTGGCGTGATCTCAGCTCACTATAGCCTAGACCTCCTAGACTCAAGCAATCCTCCCTCCAGAGTAGCTGGGACTACAGGCATTTGTCACCATGCTTGGTTAATTTTTGCATTTTTAGCAGAGACCGGGTTTCATCATACTGGCCAGGCCGGTCTCAAAATCCTGACCATGTGATCCACCCACTTCAGCCTTCCAAAATGCTGGGATTACAGGTGAGAGACATGGCACCTGGACCCGGCTGGCATGTTTTAAGAATATAATTATTCTGCCAGATACACATTTTAAAAAATGTAATCATTAGGGCAGTCCATCACCATGGGATAAAGAACTTGTGGTATTTCAGGACTTCTTTCCACATACCAGTCACTCTGATAGGCAAAACAAGTTCATATTGCCTAAGTTTTTCAAATATACTATCAATGAGGTTTAGATGAGTATTCAATCAACTGGAGGAAAAAACATACCCTACAGTATAGTTTACAAAATTTCTAAAATAAACCTATCTGAAAAGCAGATGAACTGTATATGCCATGAGGACTAGCATGAGCCTGAGCCGTGTTTTCCTTGGGCTACAATAGGACATTTTTTTCCTAGTTATATAAAGTGACCTGGAATCTCCTTAGTTTTGATACTTATCAACATTGATAAGCAATGTTGGTTACTGGCAGCAGGAGGCTTTGGTGAATGAAAAGATATTGGTAGGACCTCCTTCAGGATCTCAGGGAAGACTCATGTTTAACAAACACTGTTAACTGGCACCATGATAAAAAATCTCTGGAAACACATTTTGCCATTTAAACAATGACAACGAATGTTTAAATGACATTATATGTAACCCTTGGATTAGATAAAAGATAATTATAGAAGATCAAAACTTCAACCTGTATGTCATATTTCACAGGATCTTTAAAACTCGGCAATGTTTTGGTTTAGGTATAAACATTCAATTACTTTCCTCTCAAGTTTGGAACAGGAAAAACTCTTATCACAAATGATATAAAATGCGCTGGGCACGGTGGCTCATCCTAGCACTTTGGGATGCCGAGGTGGATGATCATTTGAGGTCAGGAGTTCGAGACCAGCATGGCCAACATGGCGAAACCCAGTCTGTATTAAAAATACAAAAATTAGCCGAGCCTGGTGGCAAGTACCTATAATCCCAGCTACTCAGGAGGCTGAGGCAGGAGAATCACTTGAACCCAGGAGGCAGAGGTTGCAGAGAGCTGAGAGATCACGCCGCTACACTCCAGCCTGGGTGACACAGCAAGATCCCATCTCAAAAATGAAAACAAACAAAAAAACCCAAAAGATACAAAATATATTTTGTTATTGTGTTTGTATAGATGGTACCTATTTCATTTTTAAGCTCTAAGTTTTGTGATTCTTTTCTTGAAACCACCAAGTTTCCACTCCACTTCTCCCTCCTCAATCAATTTCTTAACACAGAGTTTCTCAACTTTAGGAAACGAACTAGTATCCTATGAGGAAGTTTAATTTCTGGGAAGGTAGGAAACTAACTCAATCCTTCTAGCAGTTAGAGAAGAACCATTTATTATTAGTGACATGGATACAGACGCTCAGGAAGGGAGAGCTATGTTCTACACATTTTTATCCCATTATATTGTTAAGTTGTTTGCATATTTGATCTAGATGGTCAAGAAGCCCTAGAAGTTGACTGTAGCATTGAAAAGAGGTCTATTTTCAGTTTGGCAACTGACCTGCTAGGTTACAAAGTGAATGTAACTTGCCTAGAGGCACAAGGAGTGGTACATTAACAATCACTGTAGCCACTAAAATGGTCTGTTGCATACAGTTTATTTCACTAGACTGCAATTTTATACACAGTATGAAGGGGTTTCCTGATAGCACATATATAGTTTACTTTCTGTACTGCTGAAGAACCAATTGTTTTTTACACTGTATCATAACACCCTATCATTAAAACATCATTCAGTGAATTTTTTCCAACTACATATAAACGGAGATTTACCACACACATTCTTTACCACGGTGCAAGAATGTCTTTATAACATATTTGAATCACAAAATGTGAGTCTAAAATACATCACTGTAATTAAAACACTACTTTAAAGTTACAATGCCCCATGTTATAGTAGCCAGATTTGATTAGTCCCTGTATAAATCACAAAGCAGTTTGGTGGATAATGTCTTGGATAACTGGCAGCAGCTTTTAACTGTAATATTAAAAAAAAATCTTTAATTAAGAACCAGACATTCACAATTTAGAAAACTTCTTCCCTTATATGTCAGTATTCTCAGTCGAAATGGGACATTTAAAAATTTGTAGTCTCTAAAACAAGGAAAATAAATCCAACCCTCCCTTAGCTGAAAGGGTGCGGTTCTAACATTAGGTTTCGTAGAAACCTAAGACTAGCATTGTGCGAGGAGTGGAAACAAGTCATAAGAAACGTAACATTTCTTTTAAAACCTCTTAGATTCCTCTGCCCTTCCCCATCTCTGTCAAACACAGAGAAAGAATACTGCATTACAAATAAAGATGTGTTTCCATGAAATGATGTAAACAAGTCAGAGGGAAAGATTTCTTCATTTTCCTATTTTGTGGAGTGGGGCAGTGGGATATCAGTTAAATAAGAAATAGAGCTCCTTAATCAAAGAATCACTTCATTACACACAAAATAGCTCGGGGCAACTGCTGAAAACTTCTCCTGTGTTTCCTTTCCTTTTCCCCAAAGTTTGAGAATATTTGAAAGTTCAATAAATAGTAGAAAAATAATCCTTTACTTAGAAATTTTGAGATGCATCGTTTAGAGCATAACATGAGTTCCATACAGCAACTGTGGTATCCAGGTACCGCTAAGAAACAAAGTGAAATCTTCAACGCACACATTTGTATCTGCATGTGCCACATTCCAGTCTCTGGGTGAGCAGATTTTTCTCTCTTCCAGTTAAGGAGAGCTGAATGCTTCTGGCTCTTCGGAACATTCCTCTGGCTCAGCTTCACTTGCAGGTTCCGTCTCTGTGTTTGGAGGCTCGCCTTCTGTTCCCTTCCATTAGTGTTATGGCAGGTTCGTTCATCAGGCTTATTTCCCCTCCATTTCAGAACCAGCCTCACGTCTTCACAAATGTGACTGTGTTGTTGTTTCTCTTGTTTTTAACCATGTCATCAGGCAGGAAATGACTCAAACAACTCTGCACAAAGTACGAACACGAGGGAGTCTCTTGCTGTGGGTTTTAAGCTGGTTCTTTTTCTTTCCAGAACATTCTGTAGCTCCCAGATCTTGTCTTGGCGTGGAGGTGAGGAGATCGTTAGCATTCTGCATCAACAGTGTGTACTGTCACGGCCGCCTGTAAGTGGTGGCTATGATGAAGTGTAGGGTGGTGTGACCGGTAGTGGTGGAACTTGTGACTTAGTAGGGCAGCAGTCTGAGGGGGGGTATCCAGGTCTAGGTCCTCATCATGGTTTCCCACATCGACCCCGGCTGACAAGGGGTCATTGTTGCATGGAGGATTTTCACTGTCCTCCTGCGGGCTCATGGTGCTGTAACCTAGAAAAAGAACGAAACAAACACACAGCTGAGAGCTTCAAGACGCAGAGAGAAGATTCACTTAAATTTCTAGGGCACTGGGAGGTATTCCTGCCTTTGCAATACATAGGTGCAAATACTGGCTGACTGTCAGCAGATGCTAAAGTAATTTATCTTTAAAGAGATTTAGTGATAACTCTTTTTTCCCTTAAAACAATGACACAATACATACATAACCACTTTAGACAGCTGAGAAAGTATGGAGGAGAAAAAAAACAAAACAAAACCAGAACCCTCATCCCAAATCCCCAAACTGGCAACACAAAAATGAAAATCACCCTACATCCCATCATCCATGGCTAGCCACCACTGGGGACCTACCTTTCTACACTTGTACCTAAGATAAAGATGATCTTTTTTATTAAAGAAATCCAAAAAATGGGCAGCCTCAAGAAGAAGATCTGAACAGGACTCAGATCCATTGGGGCTGGTGGGGAAATCTGGTCTTCAAAATGCCTGAGTGTGATGCCACAATAGAACAAAAAGAACCCCCACCATCACCTGCATACTTGCTCGGTAGCAGGCACTTGTGTCAGGCAATTCTTGCACACCATTAACGATATATTTTAATATCCATTTTACAATTCAGGAAAATGATGTTCAGAGACGTTAAGGAACTTGCCCAAAGTTCTGGTGCCTAATGAAACACTAACTCCACGTATACCCACGGCAACTAGCTGTGGAATCAACTATTCTCTGTGTTAACTGCCCCACCTCCCCCATTTAAATTTAATTTCTTTTGGTATTCTAAGTAATACATGTTTCAAAGGCAAATGTCCTTGCTGATCAAAGGATTCCATTCTCAGATTCCTGGCATGTTTTTAAATATTGCAAAAATCTCCTTTAAACATTTTGAGAAGTGACAGCTCATTAATATTTCCACTGCATCTACAGTTAGCATCAATCAGCACTTACCCGTGGGTAGTGCTAGTCACATTCACGGCTGCAAAACTGACGTTCTTGCATGCAGCCAAGCAGGAGTCATTTGTGGCTGAAACTGTATGCTCTGTGCAAAAATTCTGTCCTCAGTGAAACGTTACTCAAATGACAGAATTATATAGCTGTCAGTCCAACTTAGCAAATATTTACCGTGTACCTACAGTATACAAGTCACTGTGCTGGGCACTGGAAGACATACAAAGATGAAAGCCTGGTCCTGGCACAGGGAGCTCAAAAGCTCGTGTTTGAGAAATGAAACAAATAGAAGCATTGGTCATTCAATTATTCATTTATTGAAGACCATTATGGGGCTGGAGCGGGAGATGAGGAAACACGAATACGAGACGTCACCTTTCCTTAATGACTTCACAGTTGAGTTTGAGACAGATGCTCACAAAGCAAAGCTTCCTCTTACACAGATAATGGTAAGTGCTATAACTGAGGTATAATTAAAATCCAGAAGAGGGAATATCTAATTCTGGCTAGGGGAATAAGGAATCTTCAGAGAATGTATATTTTAGTCGGACTGAAGTGGATGAGTAGGAGTTTGATAAGCGGATATGAAGAAAGGAACAGGATGACCACAGCCATAGAGGTGTGGATATAAAGGCCATCCCTGTTCCACGTGGCTTGGATGAGTGCTAGCAGGTAGCTGGAGAGTAGGGCAGGTGGGAGGCAGAAAGTTGAGTCAGATCATAAAGCCCATGCCGAAGAGTAGCAAATGGAGAGACCGCACAAGATTCTGAGCAGGCCAAAAAATGGCATGATCATTTGTGTTTAGAGGATGGTGGTTTGGGAGATGAAGGGAAAGGAAAGACAGTGAGCAGTTAGGAGGTTATTTCAACAGCCCACGTGAGGGATAGAGAATTAAAACTAGGGCAGTGGGATTGGACAGATTTAAAAGCTATCTCAGTGGTGGAGGCAAGAGAAATTGGAAGTCATCAGATGTGGGGGACTGTGGGGGTGAGGAGTAGTGAAAGGTGGCTACAACTTCAACTTATAATGATAAGAAAGGACAACTCACAGATTGAGTCTCAGGAAAGAAGACAAATTTTGTTTATGCACAGCTTGATTTTGAGAGTCTGCGGGTCACATATGTGGAGATGTCTAGCCAGAATCTCAGAAGTGTCATCTGCAAATTCAGGGCAGAAGAGGAAGTGTTCACTGACATATGTGTCCACCACGACTGAGTGTCTTCTTGGTGCCAGGTGGCAGGCTAGAGGCTGGACAGGAAAGGGCTAAGGTGAGGCCTCAGCTCCTGAGAGGCCCATGGGCAAGAAGGGGAAACACCCATGTGCTAAAACAGAGGCACACAAAAGGAACTCCAAAGCCAATGAACTTGGCTTAGATCTTTGAGGAGATGACAATTGGATAGCCCTGATGGGAGAAACGGGACTCAGTAGGTAAAGACAGGGGTGTAAAGGTACTTCCAGCAGGGCCCAAGTACATGCAATGGTACAACAGCTGGAAGGGCTCTGGTGGCTTCTGGGAATGGTGAAAGCTTGGGGCTGGGGGTGGGGGCAGTGGGAGATGGCACTGGACAGACAGGCTAAGACCAGGTCAAGAAGGCTGGCTGAAGCTATGAGCTATGATCTAGAATTGGACAGTGGGAGTGGTCAGGGGGCAAGGGGAGGCTGGACAGAAGGAAGGTGGGATCAGAGGCTCAGAGGACAGGGTGCTGGAGCATGGGCCGCGAGGAGATGGCAAAGACCTGAAGTAGGGCAGTTGCAGTGTGTGGACTGTTCAAGTGTACAGTAGGCCGGATTTGGTGAACTGAATGGACTTGCCTGGTGAAGATGCCAGGGAGCTGACATCCTTGGAAAAGGTCGAGGTTTCTAGGTTCAGAGGCTGAGCAAATAGTGATGCCTTTACCCAGGATTAAGAGACCAGGAGCCAGAATAGGTTTCTCAGCTTCAGCAGTGCTAAGTCTGGAGTGTCAGATCGGATGCTGGGCTGCAAAACCTAAGTCACAAACTGCTGTGCATGTTGAAACCACCTTATGCTATATATGTAAAGAATTAAAGTAGAAAACAAGATTTTAGCGAAATCCCAGTGATTATTCCAACACATCCTGGACAGCTTCCCGTCCCTGCTCATTTACAAGCACCCACACACTAACTGATAATTCATGTTAGCATTCGAGGTGTTAGATTCATGGTGGCCCTTCTGCTTGGCTCACCCTCCCACCTTCCCTCATCTTGCTATTGTGCCTCATGCTTCAGTTGGAAAGTCTTCTCTGGGAAGCTTTCCCAACCTATTTTCCCCACCCACCTCCAGTCCTGCCAGCACACATGGGGGCTGGTGCCCCTTCTGTGATTTTACATGCATTCTGTGCACATCTCTTAGATTTTGCCATATTATAATAAAAGTATAAGGCTATCTATCTATTAGCAAATTCTTTCTTAAATAGTGAGTTCCTATTTATCTTTGTACCCCTAGTATTTAACAGTAACTCACACAAAGCAGGAACTTAAAAACAACTGCTGCCCCACCCCCCACCAACGTATACTATACTCCCAAAGCAATGGCATCAATGAATTTTGTAGTTACCTATGGCTTTGCCTGGTACGACATTCACTAGTCTCATCTAATAATGAAGACGTTCTAGGATACAGTGGGCTCTATCCAGGGGTTATAACAGAATCCAGTGACACTCTGAACCTGGCTGGTCACAGGTCCTGGATTCATATCCAGGACGGTAGTGATGGTGCAGCTGTCTCCAAGGCAACTCAGGAGGGCACCCATCTCTTCATCTCAGGATGGCACCCCCATCTCTTCTGCTACTGCTTTCTGATAGGAACTTCAACAGAGGTGCTTTCAGAGTAAAACTCTCATACTACGGCCATTCCAGTTAATTTCCTTACTATGATACCATTGCTCAACCCCTCTGTAACTTCCTCTTATTTCAATAATTAATGGAAATCTGAAGGGGTCAGGGGAGAAGGGAATAGCAAGTTGTGGAGAAGCAGGAGAAAGACAAACACATTTTCTTATTCAGCAAGTTAATTGTTTGCTCAGTGCCAGGCAGTTCTGTTGAGCACTGGGAAGGGTGATGAATTAAGACAGACATAGTCCCTGACTCATGGAGGAAGAGGCACTATTTGAAACACAAAGGATATTTGCAAATGCTTCCAAGGAAAAATTTCTTTACTGTCCAAAGGCTTATGTAGCAAAGTGTCTGCAAATACAATCTCAAGTGAGAAATGGGCTTTAGAAAGGAGGTCAGGCAACTATAAAAAAGAGCTGAGATTAGGTTTTTGTTCTTTGACAGTCTGCTTATATATTTATCTGATAGTTCCTAAGAAACTTCGTTTGATTATAAGGGGTGTGACGTCCCTCTGGGGACGCACTCACCATCTCGTGGCCACAGAGTGTAACTGCAGGATAATATCTGTGCACCTCTAGAAAATGGTCTTATGTTCATCTACAAAGTTTTTTGACCAGGTTTTTAAGGTTCAGAATTTGCTTTTTAAGCACTTTGGAATTTGCCACGAACTAGGGGGAATCTTCCTCTACAAAGAAAAAAACGTTGCCTAATATACACTTACATAAAGTTTCCGATGAGATAGTAACCAAAATACAAATTCACAAGGAACAAATAACATATAGGTGTTTTTTGACTTAAAAATAAGGCAATAGATGATTGGACAGAACATGATATTTTTAAGAGAAATGGGCAAAGCAGATAGATAGTTGAAAACATACACAGGTAGTAATTGTTTCTAACCTCCACTTGTGAGGGTAACACTGCTGAAAATCAGTCATTCTAAGTGGTCTTAGACTATGGACCAAAATGATTCTACTTTCAAAGAACATTCTCAATTGGAGTAGTTTTTCTTAACATACAACGATTAAAATTAGATTCTTTTGAAGAACGAAATTCTGTTGGCAACGTAAAATATTTCTAAATAAAAATACACCCTAAAGTTTCTAAGTTTAGTTTGGTAACATTCAATTTTAATTCAATTCTAGGATCACAACTCTGAACCATACCATGAGAGCCTAGGCTGTTGTGCAGTCATGTATTTACAGACTTAATTGAGTTTCCTTTGTGTAACACACTCAAGGATTCATGTGGAAATACTCTGATCAGGGAGCACAGAATCATGGTGCCACAATCCTACCAGTTCAAGGGCCAGTCAGTGCCAATTCCTCCATGGGGTCTCCCCTAATTTACTCGCAGATAAAAGTGAACTCTTGCCCCTTTCCTTCTTTGTCCTACTCTTTTAAGGAAGCTGTCATATTCCATCTTTTATCAAGCATATGAATACAAGCATTCATTTATAGCTTCCTCCTAGACTGTAAATTCCTTCAGGGCAGGGTGGGCACAGAGGTAGGGAGGTCAACCCTGAGCACTGTGCCTATCATATGTCATTTCATTTCATCCTCATTGCAACTCCACCTAGCAGGTTTTTTGCTTGTTTGTTTTTTCTTTTTTTTGTTTTTTTGTTTTTTGAGACAGCTCTGTCTTAAAGAGCTCAAATAGCTCTCGGCTAGAGTGCAGTGGTGCAAACATGGCTCACTGCAACCTCGACCTCCTGGGCTCAAGTGATCTTCCTACCTCAGTCTCCTGAGTAGCTGGGACTACAGGCATGTACCACCATGCGTGGCTAATTTTTTTACTTTATAGAGACAGGGTCTCACCATATTGCCCAGACTGCAGTAAGAATTTTTAATCCTACTTTTAAGTATTAGGAAACTCAGGTCTAAGGTAGCTCACTAAGGTCTCAACAGCTTGTGGAAAAAAAAGGGGGAGAAGTAGGCTTCAAAGAGAACTGGCTTTACCCTATCTCCTAAGCTCTTCCTCTACACCAAGCTGCCTTGAGGAAGTACCAACTCCCATCTGTAGCCCCCTCCACAGTGTACTAGGGTATAGCCATGCCTTGTGTAATGACAGAGATACATCCTGAGAAATGTGTCCTTAGGCAATTTCATCATTGCACAAATGTCACAGAGTGTACTTTCACAAACCTAGATGGTATAGCCTACTACACACCTCAGCTATATGGCATAGCCTATTCTTCTAGGCTACAAACCTGTGCCACATGTTACTGCACTGAATACTGTAGGCAACTACAACACAATTGTACACAATACTGTAGGTAATACTATAGGTATTTACATATCTAAACATAGAAGAGGTACCAGAAGAATACAGTATAGAAGATTTTTAAAAATGGTACACCTGCGGCCGGGTGCAGTGGCTCATGCCTGTAATCCCAGCACTTTGGGAGGGTGAGGTGGGCAGATCACCTGAGGTCGAGAGTTCAAGACCAGCCTGACCAACATGTAAAAACCCAGTCTCTTCCCAAAACACAAAATTAGCTGGGCATGGTGGCGCGTGCCTGTAATCCCAGTTACTCGGGAGGCTGAAGCAGGAGAATCGCTTGAACCTGGGAGATAAAGGTTGTGGTGAGCCCAGATTGCGCCATTGCACTCCAGCCTGGGCAACAAGAGCAAAACTCCATCTCAAAAAAACAAAAAACAAAAAAGGTACACCTGTATAGAACACTTACCATAAATGGAGCTTGCAGGATTGGTAGTTGCTCTGTGTGAGCCAGTGAGTGAGTAGAGTGAATGTGAAGGCCCAGGACATCAGTGTGTACTACTGTAGACTTTATAAACACCATATACACTTAGGCTACTCTAAATTTATTAAACATTTTTTTCTGTCTTCAATAATAAACCTTTGCTTACTATAACTTTTTTGCTTTAAAAGCTTTTAAACTTTTTAAACTTTTTGACCATTTTGTAATAACAGGTTAAAATACTGACACATTGTACAGCTGTGCAAAAATATTTCCTTTCGTTATATCCTTATTCTATAAGCTTTTTTTCTAGTTTAAAAATTTTTACGTTTCACTTTTTAAACTTTTTGGTTAAAAACTAAGACATAGCATCTCCAAAAAAAAGAAGAAAAAGCAAAGAAAATCCACGAATATAATTAAATGTCAGATAAAATACCAAAAAAAAAAAAAAAATTTTACCACAAACGAGATCCTCAATATGTAAGGAATGATAGTTTTGAAGTACAGTGAGCCAAGATCGCGCCTTTGTGCTCCAGCTTGGGCAACAAGAGTGAGACTCCGTCTCAAAAAATAAAGCACACACACCAAAAAACTAAGACACAAACACACACATTAGCCCAGGCCCACACAGGGTCAGGATCATCAAGATGTCACTAGGCAACAGGAATTTTTCAGCTCCAGTATAATCTTATGGGACCCCTGTAGTATATGCGAAGTGTTGTTATGCAGTGCATAACTGTGCATAGCAGATGCCAATACATCCACCAAATAGGAGAGTAGAGCATACACAGATGAGCAAGTGTGCTGACAAAACAATTAGATTTCCTTGTTTAATGGGTGTATATAGCTTCACCTCTAAGCATCACAGAGACATTAACTCAATGCCACTATTTTTAGTGACCCACGTACTGGTTCAAGGGATGCCAACACGCATTTAAATTCTATTGATTTTATGATGCATTTGGAATATGGGAAGTGTCAATGCCTTCCCCTTCTTTTGGTGTTACATTCTGTCTGCATGAGAAACTATTTTTCATTCCTTGGGGATAACAGGGATCCAATTATGGTGAAAAATGAAAGGAACCAAGCCCTTAGCTGGATGCCTTAGTGTTCAGATACGGACACTGCACCCTTCCTTTTATCTAAGCTGTTGCTTCATATGCCATTTCACTAAGACAATGGGAGAGGCTAATGGAACATCATAAACATCACTCAGAATCCTAATTTGGTATTGATGCAATTCCTATTGAGGAACACAGAGAAAAAGGATTCTGTATTTCAGAGAGAGAAAAGGATTCAGTATTTCTGCTGAATAAGAAATTATTTCTCTTGAACTTTAGTAGCCTCAAACCTGTTTTATTATTCAAACAAGAAGGCACAGAACTGCCTGGCAGCAGGAATTTATGCAGGTTCAAAGGTTTGTAGACAAAAAAGCAAAAAAGTCAAAGAAACTGAAAAATTTAAGTTCTGCTGTGGTTCTCCATAGAAACCCGAAGTTTCTATTTAGTTGGCGGGAATAATGTCATTCAAAGCCCAAATTAACAGTCTCCAATTTATAAAACAGAGCTTTAGCTGCTCTTCTTTGCCCTGGCTGTAGTGGAAAAGGTGATGTTGGTTGCTTTGAGGAATATCTATTTCTGCATTTTTTAGTATAGATATAGGGAACACCCTGTTGGAGGACTTTTTTTTTTTTTTTTTTCCAGGATAGGTATGGAAAAAGCTAGGTCAAAAAGGCTTAAGTACATTATTTATGTATTAAAAAAAGAGACTTGATTCTGGGAGGAAAATACAGATTTCTGGAAAATTAAACAGCTATCTTAAAAAAATAAAAAGATTTTACAATGGCAGGAAAAGCACTACCCATGCCTGTTGTATTTTTGTGGAACCGTGGCAGTGATGCTTACAGACTGGGATACATCTGCTGTTCTTTGCAACAATGAGCAATGTGGACTCAGAGAAGGAGAGAAGCCATGTGGGATGGCCAAGTCTTTGGCAGAGCATGTGGATTTTGTCAGTTACCTAGCACTCGGCACCTCTTCACAATTTGGCCTTGACCCTTCCAGAGCATCTTATAGGCACTTATACAACTCCATGACTTTGTACACACTGGTCCTTTGACCGCTAATATTCTTTGCCCCTACCTTTTCTTTAATCACCCCCTCAAGGCTCAGTGCAAATGTTGCTTCTTGCTTCTTTGGTGAAGGCTTCTCTGAGCTCCCCAGACCATGCCAGAGGTCAGGGCAAGAGAATGCTGGAGGACAGCACAGATTCTTGTCATGCCCCAAGGGGACATGGCTAAAAAAGCCCTTAAAGATCCTGCTGTTTGCCAGCCAACACTGGAGAGCGGGACCTAAGAGGATGCAGATTTTATGGAAAAGCAAGTGGGATGGCAAGCAGGCTCCATTTAGACAATATGAATCCTTCTGTATGGAGAAAAACTTGAAAGCAATCTGTGTGCCCAGAGGAGTGCCGAGACATAAGCAAAACTGTCCTTGGGCTCTTATAAGGGTGGCATGCTGGGGTGTGTCTTTTTGGAAAACCATGTCAAAATAGGGTGTGAGCATCATCCCACAGGAGTACACGAGGTTCCTCGGGTCTTCAAATGCAGGAAGCTAGACCTTACCATGATCACTTTCTGTTCCTGATCGACCCCAGTAGCGGCGCCTTCTTTCTGGACTGTGTGCATGTCGTTCGATGACCGCAGCTATAAACCGAGTGTTGCTGACTGTGGGAAGTCAAGGACAGTTAATGTCACTCTTATGCCAGTATCTCTGTAGTTTCAAGCACATTTGCTCTGAGAGGGCTCATTTACATGCTGGGAGAATTCTCTTTGGAAAGCCAGAATAAATCATTTTTTAAACAATTCTGGGGATTGGGGTGTTGATTTTAGAACTGGTGCAGTGAGAGGTATTTAATGACATATCTCCAATGTGCATCAGGAAGCTGTGGTCTAGTAGGTAAAGGCCAGGCTGTCTTAACACTAATGGAAATCTCTTTTGATAAACAAAATGCTCTTTTTTCCTCCCTGAGTTGTACGTACTAGTTAAGGGATTAAAAAAAAAAATGCATCCCTGAAACTTCCTTTTCTAAAATACTATGGTTGGGAAATAAAGAGCAAGAGAAATAAAGGAAAGGGTTAGCTGTTTTAGGCCAACACACTTAATGCAAAAAAAAAAAAAAAAAAAAAAAAAAATAACATCATAAAATCTTTTGAGATTCTTTAAAACAAAACAAAGACCTACACATACTCCTAACAAAAAAGGACAGAAAAAAACAACTAAAAAAACCCAGTCACCGTGTCAAAGCTTCTTAAATTTTAATACAAGCCAAAAGGATATAAGAAAGAATATTTATTCTGGATTAGCCTCCTGCTGACACATTCTGCAGCAAGGCAGCTGAATACTCACTGATGCCTCTGTCTTCGTGGCTGTCATCGTCCCTTTCATCTCTGTCATTCTCCAGGTTGGACATACGCACTGACATTTCTACCCATCATTAAAAAGAGAGAAACATGACTATTTAATCAAACAAAATCACTCGCTTTAATACCCTGCTGAGCGCTTGTTTGATGGCTGGGTGACAGCATTCCATCAAGAATGAATCCCATCTTAGAAGGGAATGAACTGATGCCCCACTTTTTTTTTTTTAAAGGAGGAGGGAGCAGGAATCCAAACAAGAAGAACAAGTAATCAAGAGACATCTGAAATTGATTTCTGAGAAAGGAGGAGAAAAGAAGTTGACTGAGGCCAACAAATCTTTAATCCTCGACTAAAGTACTGAAACAGAAGGAAAGGGATTGAAAACATGACTGACTGTGTTGGTAAAATGGTGCAACAAAAGCCTCCAAAAGGCCAGGAAAAAGCTAATACTGGACGACGGTCATCCTCAGTCTAGCTGAATCTCACCAAGGGAAGCACATAGTGATTATCCCTGTTACTAAATCAGGCAACATTACTCCATGATTCCCCTTCAGGCTTGTGGCCATAGTGAAACGTTTTAACAACAACCTGCCATTACAGCTGTTAGAGTGAGCTAAGCGGCCAGGAAGATGAGTTAACTTCATCTCCAAAAAGGTCAGGTCAACACTTCCCTGGGGACTGGGGTTTTAGGAAGGATGGAGATGGCCTTAAATAGTTTTGTTCCCTGCAAACAGAGTATAGATACTGCACTTAAACAGAGTATAGATACTGCACATGGTATTGAGGCCATGATTATAGGTGAATCATTTTGTACCTGGCTTCAATGACTTTTTTTTTTTTTTTCCTCAGATTGAATCTCACTCTTTCACCCAGAATGGAATGCAGTAGCGTGATCTTGGCTCACTGTAGCTTCCATCTCCTGGGTTCAAGCGATTCTCTTGCCTCAGCCTCCCAAGTAGCTCAGACTATGGGCGTGTGCCACCATGCCCAGCTAATTTTTGTATTTTTAGTAGAGGCGGGGTTTCACCATGTTGGCCAGGCTGGTCTTGAACTCCTGAACTCAAATGATCCACCCACCTCGGCCTCCCAAAGTGTTGGGATTACAGGCGTGAGCCACCGCACTCGGCCGACTTATCCTGTTTTAAGAGATGTGATTATTCAAATATGTGTTTATTCACACTACATAATGGCAGCTGCAATAGAACAGATTATGCTCTTGCCACTAGTGATCTGGGGTATCTTTGATTTGCCTGTCTTTTTGGAATGGCAAGGGCAGCACATCTAACAAACAAAATTTCCCACTCAGCATCCCAGCTCCCCTGGCTGGCTTATTGCAGAAGCAGGCCACTGGGGGCTAATGCTGGTAAGGAGAGGATCCAAGGATTTTTCTGGGGATCAAAATAGAGCTTGTAGGGTTTAGGCACTGAAGAAGAAAGCAGGCTTTGGGGACTTCCAAAATGACTCCACAGAAGCTGAAAATATAGCACTGTGCTGACAATTCCTTAAAGACTGACACAACCAGCCACTGTCCTTCTAGCCTGGCTGCTGCTTCCCCTGTGGGGTTCATTTTGAGCTCACCTTGGGCAGCAAGAGGAGACATATGCTGATGGCTCCGGCGATGAATCTGGTGGCGGTAGGCGTACACCGCCAGGACCAAGACCATGATGCATCCCATGATCCCTCCAGCCACAGGACCCACGGGGGCGCTTTTAATCATGTTTAATGTGATCACCTCATCACCTTCAGTGAAAGAGCAAGAAGATGTTCCTCATTAAGATTTCCCAAGTGGGGAAGAAAGTAAGGACGATGAGATGGGAAGGAATAGAGTGGGAAGGGGGCTGGGGGAAGATAAACAGATGCTTAGTTAGGCTTTGAGTTCCTCAAACACGAGGCATGGGAACATGGGAGCAGAGGCTTCGTTTAATTCCTGGTTCTCCAGTGTTGGTTCCTAGGCAGAGAAGCAGCACAAATGGCAAGGACTGCTGGGAAGAGTGAGCAGACCAGAAGAATTGCTTACACAGGCAGCACCCAACACCAACAGAGTCCTAGCTCCCTGGGGTATGAGTTACTCTTGGAAAAGAGGAAAAGTCACCTAGTACAGAGTAACCACTAAAACAAAAGGCACCAGGTCCAATAAATATGTGCTAACCAGACCAAGTTTCGAAGCTTATGAGTTTCCTTTAAAAGGCCATTTGTGCTTTCCAGCTAGGGAACTGCAGGTGAGCATATAAAGTGATGTCTCAGAGCCAAGTCACTTTCACGTATGCACCCTCACCTAGTTCAGTAGTAACATACAAGCTCAAAATCCTTCCTCACATATGAGCTTTTCTTCTATACAGGCTGATGTAAGTGATGTTAAAAATCAAGGTATTAACTAAGGATTTAAATATTTGACTCTACTGCCATCTAAGAATTAGGTGCTAATTCTGGAAAGACTGAAAATAATCTCAGGTGAGCGATATAATCTTGGCAGTATTTCTGAGGTCTTGGAGACTGATCCTGGGAGCTCTCCACCCCATGGTGTCCCTGTGCTTCATCCTAAGTTGTCCCAGCTACACTGAGTAGCTCTGGCTTCTGTTGATTCTGTTGACTCCAAGGCCCCAAATACTGATTTGTAGCTATAAGACTTCACCTTGCAAAAGTTGTGAGTGAAGGTTTCAGCAGGTATTAGACATACAGTGGTCACCCCGTACACGGCCCTGTGCTTCTGCCAGCTGGCATGCATAGCCAAATAGACTCCAGAGTTCGGCCATGCAGAAACCAGGCCTGACAGTTCTCAGAACAAGCTTTATGGGAAGGAATTCCAGGCTTGCAAAATTTGGCAGGACAGATGGCCACTCACTCTCTCTGCACAGAATATTTAGCCAGTTCTGAAGGTAATTATCTGCCTTGGTTTTGTAACTAAAGACTACCAGCAAAGGAATCAGGGAAGCTGGGGAGAGGATTATTTTAAGATGTCCTAGTATATAGGCAAGAAATTGTATATTCAAGAATCAAATTGTTGGGGTATCCAACAAACATACCTATTGCTCCCATGTCATCAACGTAGGGACTTTTGGCTCCCACAATACCCCCGAAGCATTCTTTCTGGGGAGCACAGTAGGATTTGTCCAGGTGAGTCTTTCCATCACTGTCCACCATGCACCATTCACAATCCAGCACCCCAAAACAGTCCCTGCCAGAAAGACAATACTTAGTCTTCTATAAGGCAGAGGACAGCACTTAAGCGTTGGCATCAGACAATTCTCAGGATCTCCATTACTTACTAGTGCTGTGAATTTCTTAAGCTTTAGTTTCCTTCCCTTATAAAATGAGAATAGCAAGAGACTGCCAGGGGAATAACTGTTTTATGCCTGTTAACAGCTTGGAAAGGAGAGAAATAAAACTGCTGTCTGTGAATTAAACAATGACATCCACACATCATAGGGCTATTCAAAATCATCTTACAAGACCAAATAGAAATGACCCCAATGTTTGTCAGACTCTGGCCTAACATCCCCCAAGTGTGGGGTCATTTAAAAAAATAAAAAGAAAGTCCAATAAGTTTGGAAATACTTGGCCAGTTACCACAGGTTTCCTCACTGCCAATCTCTCAGAGCCTTTAGTGTATTACATGCATTGTGACTGTCTCAAGAGAATATATGCAGTGTCAGCGTTTCCTAAACCTAATTGACTTGGGGCTACTGTATAACATCCCAAATTAATCAGTTTGATGCCACAATTCCTTTGCTAAAATACACACCCAAATTAGAGTAAGCTATTCATCGAAACACTGTTTAATAAAATGGCAATCTACAGCTACAATAAGCTAATAACCAACTTCCCTTCACTTAGTCTATCACAGACACTATTTCCATAATGTCTGGTCCCAAACTCCTAATCCCACCTGAGGAGTTGGGGGAGAGTGGGGAACATCTAGTTTTTAGTTCCCAAAACTATCGTGAAGCAGATGTGTTTCCTAAGAAAGGAAAATAAATGATCTCCAAAATACCACACCTAGAGCCTTGACCACCGGGCTCTGCTTCTGGACCTCACCGGTTCCTCCTCCCTTGCCCTGCTGCTTCATGCCATGGCCCTCCACACTTCTTTTATTTCAAGAAAAACTCCCACTCACAGATGAGGCTACTAACATATGGTACCCATGCTAAATAGGGATAATAAGTGGGAACGAGACAACATTTAACCTGGTGGACAAAGGCTTATGGAAATCAGTTTCAGATCTGAAAAACTGATATACCTTTTTAAAACAGGAAGAGTGGGAATAATAAATATTAGCTGGAAAACCTCTATTCTTTACTAGATTCTGCTTACCCGCTTTCCAGCCTCTGACTGCACCTGCTGTTGACACACTGGTGAAGAGCATCTTGCAGGCCAGGGTCAATAGCTGTGTATGTCACCGGCTCCTGGTGGACCTCACAGCTTGGGTTTCTGTGCAGGAGGTAAGTCTGGAGGTTAAGACCACCACCGCCCACATTCCAAACTCATGCTCCTGGTCCTTAAAGCAGTCAGACAGATTTGGGCTTGAATCTTGGCTTTGCCACTTAGTGTAACCTTGGATCAATTACTTAACAACACTGAGCTTCAATTTATTTACCTTCATGTACAATAGAAATAATACAAATAGCCTAGGCAACATGATGAGACCTTGTCTCTACAAAAAGTACTACTACAACAAAACTTAGACAGGCCTGGGAATCACATGCCTGTAGTCCCAGCTATGAGAGAGGTAGAAAGGTGGGAGGTTTGCTTGAGCTTTGGAGGTAGAGGTTGCAATGAGCCATGATTGCGCCACTGCACTCCATCCTAAGCAACAGAGTGAGACCATGTCTCAACACACAAATATACACACACAATACAAACACACATGACACTCTTAATTTCTAGAGAAGGGGTTTATCACAATTTATTTTCCTGGTGTTAAAATCTGTCACTGATATAAATAAATAATGCTGTTATTATGTGTGAACACATCATACGTATGTGAAAAACACTTGCATATTTATCACAGGGTTAATTAAAACACTAAGTAACTTAATATACATGAAGTACTCAACACATGGTAGACACTTAGTAAATGCTTGAAACATTCTCACATTTTTTTGTATGTAGCACATACACTCAATACTTTTACAGCAGTTAAATTTAAATCTCAAAACAGACATCATTTTATGGCACTACTGAGCTTGAATTCTGGCTCACTGAACAGTTCCATCATTAGAATGAATCATCTTTATATGCCCTAACTCAAAACAAATCTATAAGAGACTCACAGTATTATATATGTATTATTATTATTATTATTATTAATTTTACCGGTTCTCTGCATTGGTGAGGTTGCCAGTGCACTCATTGACCTCTAGAGGGCACTCACAAGGACATTCACATTCGTTTTGTTCCATTCTGAAGAGCAAAAAGAAAGTTACTATGCAGAAGGACAGTGGCAAACTGTATGTTGTACATGTACTGGGGAAGCAAAATAATGAAGCTCTGAGCTACTTTAAAAGGATAGTAAAAAGGAATTTACAGCCAAACGTTAAATACATAAATGGTCTTAATCCATTGTTCTTTGGACAAGGATGCTGCAAACAGCACAGCTCTAAGTGCCTTTGTAATTGTGACTTTTCTTCAGGACACACACCAGCACTTTCTGTTTATTTTGCACTTCAAAATTTCTGACATCAGTTGAAATATTAAACAGCATAGTGAACACAGAATATGACCCACTGCATTTTTACCGGTGACAGTTGAGACAGAGCCGGTCCACCATGCTGCAGGCACAGAAGGCAAGAGAGTCGCAGGTTTCATTGACAATGCCAACAAACGCATTGGTTCCTGGGATCCTTGCTAGTCTGTATTTGGAACAGTGGCTGCCATGCACAAGGTTCGTCAAATCCCCCTACAGAACAATCAAGGTATCAGAAATGACAGACAGCAATGCAAAGACTCAGCCCTTCCTTGGTGAAAACAACTCTTCAACTACCCATGGAAAATAGCTTAAAATAAAATATTTCTGATTACAAAAGTCACTGTTAAAAAATATATAGTCACTGTGAAAAATTTAGAAAATAAAATTATTCATAATCAGAGATAACTCCCATTGAACGGCTGTGTATATACTATGTGTTCTTTTATCTGTGCTTACACATATAAATTTTATAGCTGTTATTAAAATCTGTTTTTTCTTAACATATAATAGTATACCAGGAAAATGAATACTTCAAGAAGCAATAGTTTGAAGCAATACTTCAAAAAGACAATTTTCAGGGAAGGAATAGTTAAAATTTATTCACATGCAAACCTAATTAACCACAAATCATGCATTTCCCTTTTTTTGGGTGATGAACTTTTTCCTTTTAGAATAATAAAATTATTTAAAAATCAAACCTCTCTAAGAGGCAAATTTCTGCTTCTGGAATATTTAAATAATCCAACTAAATCAAGTATCCCTTTTCTTCACTCCATAAAAAGAAAATGTGATAGCAAGTTTCTTGAACTGTCAATTTTGTTTACCATATTACAAAATCAAAGATTCCAAAGTGGTATTGTAGAGTTGCGTGTAATCACTTTTCTGCATATGTGTCAGATACACTAGGCAAATTATTTCACCTCAAGCTTGTTTCCATGCCATGCATCCTGTACAGATGCTTGGTGAGGATGAGCTTAGTTCTGAGAATCATAGCATTGAATGGGTTTTTAGAGGTCTACATGAATTTCTCATTGTCTGGAGAAATTCCTACCTCTAGAATATAAGCAGTATCACAATCTTGGAGTCCTGACAGCCCCAGTACTCAGGAATGTTCTAATTCCATTTGGGAATAACTTCAGCCATTAAATTATTCAAATGTGCCTTCTGAGAAGTATCTACCTGAGTATCCTGGCATTGTGTGCTGAAGACTCCAGAAACCATTGCATAAATGATAGAAGATACGCAAAATAAGTCAGACTTTCCTATGACAACCTTACTTGGCAGTCTCATTTATCAATGTCTCCTTTAAAGAGAGTGCTTCTCAAAATGGTATGGGGTCTGAACAGGATAATAATGACTTCCCTTGCTTTGAACACACTGTTCTATTAACATATTCATTTTTTAAACTACTCTTTTCCACCAGATAATTGCTTTCTGCAATAGAGTTTTTGAGACTCAGTTTAGGATTTTTAATTTAACCCAGTACATTTTAAAAATTAATTACACACTTTATGACTGACATAAACGCCTATTCTAAATAAAAAACCTACTTCCTATAAGTAGCTTTTTGAATGTTCTATCATTCCCCATTTAGCTTTCTCCCAAGTAGGATTATTTATAAATTAATGAGAATGTCCTTAAGATCTTTAACCATAACCAGGTAAATTTGCAGCAACTCAAATTATACAGAATACTCTAAGCTAAAAAAAGACACTATTTTCAGATGATTTACATGAGAGTTCCCATCTCATAGGGCAAATGATCAAGAACTGACCTAACTTGGCCTTGGGAATTTAAGGAGACCGAGTGATCCCTAGAAGACAGGAAGAGAGAAACACATGGTGCCACATATATTTATACAAGAGTGTGGGAACCAACTTTGGCAGATATTTCAAAGGGCTTAGATTGGGTAAGTCTTTAAACAAACAAAACCAAAACAAAATACCAACTGTGAGACCTTGAAACATTCACTTTTCTACTCTGAGCTTTATGTCTCCCAATCGCCAAACTAGGAATGGGAACTAAGGTCCTGTCTCCTCCTGTCATTCTGTAATTCTAAGGCAATGAAACAGACATTAGCCATGATTCCAGTTCATGTTCCATAATGGGATGGAAAAATGAGAGTGTTAAGGAATCAGATCAACTTACCGCAAGGCTGGTGTTGAATTTATAAAACCTCTGGACCGTTCTGTCACTGAAGCTGTTGCACAGGTTTTTCTTTACAAAGTTGGGGTGGTTGAGGATATCATTTGCTACCAGGGGCTCCTACCAAGGCCAAAGAGAACAGAAGACATACACCATGTAGTGAGCTGCAGGCGGTTGGAGAACTGAGCTGCTCGGCTTTGTGACAAATACCTTGTGGGTGATGTGCTGCTGCTCCACAGGTGCATGTCCTTTGGGATCGATGAGAGTTGGGTGCGCCACCAGATAACCCCTGTCCTCCATTATGAAGCACCTGTACCAAAACAAGTCATGCCCCTCATTCATGTCAGCTGTCCTTTTTTAAACGTATCCAGAGAGCATTTATCTTGCTAGCCCTGAAACAAACTGCATTTATCCCAGGTTCTCAATAAATACTCATTGGAAAAATGAAGGGAAGCTGGCAGGCAGGTAGATGGGTACCTGATTTTTGAAGTTGTGGGTCACTTACATACATAGTTTATACAGAATGTGCCCACACAGCCCAAGTAAGATGGACTCAGACCTTTTGCAAAGATACATGAATGGGAAGTTTGTTCTTTATTCCAGGGAAGCAGATCCTAAAGGAAGTAGACTTGAGTACTTCTACCTACAGATTTGAAGTAAAGCATATAATTTCTTCTTCCAATAATAAATACACATAAAATAACAACATGCAGGGGATGTATAAAAATATACAGTAGTCCTTCTCCCTTATCTGTGGAAGATATGTTCCAAGACCCCAATGGATGCCTGAAAGTGCTGATAGTACTGAACCTTATATATACATGGTTTTTTTCCCTATATATATTTACCTATGATAGTTTAATTTATAAATTAGGCCCAGTAAGGGATTAACAACATTAGCTAATAATAAAATAGAGCAATTATAACAGTAATAAAAGTTATATGAATGTGGTCTGTCTCTATAAAAATATTTTATTTTATTATGCTGTGGTTCTGAACCCTCACAAAGCGAGACCAAAGATAAGAGGGGGACTACTATATTTGATCTACATTTGATAGAAACAATAAATGAAGCTAGAACTGCTTTAATCAAGACTATATTTTGCTTTATTTTACTTTACATTAGTGATATCAGTTTGCCAGGAATTCTGCATTTCCCCATAAGGGCCAATGACACGAAGCGTGAACCATGAGATGGAACTAAGAAAGCTATTTTTAAAAGCAGCCTGCATTAAATCAAGGGAATGCCCTTGCTTTGATCAGACATGTTCTTTTGAAATCCAGGAGGCAGAGACTTTTGGTTCCATGGTCTCTTTCTGGGGAAATGTAAAAGGAACAGTCTAAGCAGCTGAAAATGTCACAAAGACTTTGGTTTAATGACAAAGTTAACATCAAAAGTTCTACCCAAGAGTCCCCTCTGGTCTTTCTAGTACCAAAGATATGGGAAGCCTCTAATTACTGACTTTCAGGGAAACAAGAGCTTTTGGTGCATTCCATGCTACAGTTACTTTTCTTGTTGTGTGCTGAATCTGCCTGTTTAAATAATAAACAGTATGCATCTCAGAAAAACGAAAGAAGAGAAAAAGAACAAAAACTTTCTTAACAGAACACCCAGGCCATGAATTCAATTTCTAGTCCTGACCATAGCTATGCTGTTCCCATTCAACTAGAGATACCTGACATCTATTTTTAAATTTCTGCAGCTAGAAAGGAATTGCATCCCTAAAGCGCTTACCTTATTTTGTTGCCACCATCTTGGTTACAGACTGGTAACAGGTCCATCAGAACTTTGTAGAAGTATCTGAGTGTGAAGTCAATGCCCATCACAGCCACAGTATGCCCAGAAGACAGCTGTGTACTTTATATGAAAAAGATCAATGAGAACAATAGGCATGGCTTATTTAAAGATAAAAGTTATGTTCAGTCCCAGGGACATTGTTTGGTATTAGAAATATCTTCCCATTGTTCCTACTTTTCCCACCTACAAAAATGATCAACTAAGTGACTGATTTAACACAACATGGAAATTTTATGAGAGAAAAACATTTGAGACTTAATGTAAGACTGTCTAAATAAGAGTGGCCCAAAACCTGAGCAGCTGTGAAATATGATGCTCAGAGAGCGGCTCGACTGACAAAAATATGGGCGCAGAGGCATCAGGAGGGAGGTTGGATGCATGACGACTACGGCTACTTCCAACAAACCTCTAGATAAAAAAAATTCCCCTTAGCAACACCCTTATTATTTACTTCATTTTTTAGGTAAGAAAACTGAGGTCTCACAAAGGTTAACTGACTGGTGTAAGTTAGGAAAACTTAGGAGTAACAATGGCTAGTCTAGTTTTCTTTCCCCAACATTAAGGTTGACTCTACTCAGAGCTCAGCTCATATCCTAGAACAAGACTGTCCTGCTCCATAGGCCAGTGCTTTCTCCATTCCACCCTGCTACTCTCAACAGCCAAGGAAGAGAAAATTGGGCAGTAAAACACAGCGCTAACTTGTTTGGCTCTGGAATCAGCAGATCTGAAGTCAAATCTTGGCCCTGTTGCTTTCTATATATGTGGCTTATGGAATGCTGTTTCACCTTTCTAAGCTTCAGTTTTCTCATCTGAAAATGGTACCTATTTATAAGGCTGTCATTGGGATTAAATGAGATGGTGTATTTACAGTGAACACCTAAAAAAAAGAAGCTAAGCTAAAGAAAACTAAACCGTGAAGTTGAACCCTCAGGCAAGGGTTAACAATAAACTTATTACTCTTTCAGAGAAAATATACTTCAAGAAATTGCTGGGTGTGTCAGAAGTGTGGACTTCTCACTTGGAACCTTAGCTCTTTTTAATCTATGCTCATGGCTAACTGGGAGGGCATGTGCTACCTGACTAACAAACTCCCCACATTCTTATGGCTGAGAATCTGCAGTTTACCCAACATAGGACTTTCTAAGAGCCTATCATTTAGCATCACCCACCTGCCTCATTTCTTTATAAAGAAAATATCCAAAGAAAAATCACAAAAATCATAATTATTTCTCATAGCAATCTTACAAGGCATTATAATTTCCAGAGAACTGAAGCTTGGGGAAATTAGGTATTTGGCCAAGGTCACACAGTGAATAACTAGTAGAAGCAGAAATGTATTTATTATTTTTGTAAGAGATGGGATCTTGCTATATTGCCCAGGCTAGATTCAAGCTCCTGGGCGCTCAAATGATCCTCCTGCCCCAGTCTCAAGTAGCTGGGACTACAGAAACACAACAATGGGCCGGTGGAAGCAGGGATTTAAACTTAGTGTCTTCAACTCCAAAGCACATACCATGAAGTTAAACTGCCTTCTTAGATCTGCAGAGCATTCAAGAGTTTCCAAGCAACTTTACACTATTTAACTATCCGTGAAAAAGCCATAAAGGAATCATAGTTCCCATTTTATAAATACAAGATTAAGCTTACAATGGCAAAAACACATAAGATAGGTCAGATCACCTTTTATTTATGGTATAGAGACCAGTGCCCACAACTGGCTCTTTCTACAACACTACAGCTACCTCGGTGAAAAACAGCACTTAGGTGTTTTGGTATAAGGTAATTTTATTTCTAAACTTCTCTTGTATAACTGCCATCTGCTTCAAAATGATAAACATGCTAAGGCAACAGCATGTATCTTGCCTACGTAAGTCTAGGATTCATATTTTCACCTGCATTTCAGATGGGTACACTGTTACCATAGCAACTCATAAAGAAAGATACTGGAAAAAAGAAATCACACCAAATCTACATTTCTAAGTACAACAGACCAGACTGTTTGCAATCCTTCCATGAGATTTTCACAGCCAAAGACACATCTAACCCGTCCTTTACTCAATGATTGTACTTCATCTCTAGCAGCACCACCCTTCTCCAAAGAATGCAAATCCAGATTCTCAGGGCACTAAAAATCTATGTGAAAGAATCAAAAGAAAGCTTACTATGAGTAACTGATAAGTGAGTGTTGAATTAGAAAATGCCTCTAATTCTCAGCCAAACCACTGAAAATTGAGTGCATGGGACCGCTTCATGACAAGCTGAATATTAGCTTAGGCTTTCTCTTCTGACCTGCTAAAATGTCAGAAGTTTAAAGCAAAAATAGCATGATAAAAATAACTGTCATTTATTTGGGACTCGACCTTTTAAGTACAGTAGTAAGCATTTGACATGTATCATCTCTAATTCTCATCCTATCAGCTCAATGCAGGTATTACGGTCTCTGTTTTATATATGAGGTCAAAGAGGTCACAAAACATTATTATAAAAGTGCTTAGGCCGGGCGCGGTGGCTCAAGCCTGTAATCCCAGCACTTTGGGAGGCTGAGACGGGCGGATCACGAGGTCAGGAGATCAAGACCATCCTGGCTAACATGGTGAAACCCCGTCTCTACTAAAAAGTACAAAAAACTAGCCGGGCGAGGTGGTGGGCGCCTGTAGTCCCAGCTACTCCGGAGGCTGAGGCAGGAGAATGGCTTAAACCCGGGAGGCAGAGCTTGCAGTGAGCTGAGATCCGGCCACTGCACTCCAGCCTGGGCGACAGAGCTAGACTCCGTCTCAAAAAAAAAAAAAAGTGCTTAACATTTATTGAGCCCTTACCAGATACCAGGCACTGTTCTAGGAGATTGACATATATTATTTAATTTAATCTTTAAAAATAATCATTTGAGGTAGGCTCTAATATTCTCACTTTCTTAAGTGGTGAAACAAAGGTGAAAAGAAATTTGTTTATAGTCATGCAAACAGTAAACGGAAAATCTACTTTTTGGGAGTAGAACCATATGTTAGGAGGGATGAAGTTCTCAAGCTGGCACCCAAGGCCAACATCATTAGTAATCATTTGGAAAAAACCTTTGCAAAGCCTATCTATCCATGCATCCATCAAAGTCACAGTTGCTCTGCTTGAGCACCATAAGAGGTAGTTGACTTGCATTTTAAACTCTGTTGATTGAAAAATACACAGCTCTAAATAGTAAAATCACACTCTGCTAAGCAAAATATTCAAACAACCAGGTGCATGGGATTTCATATTGCGCAGGGCAAGAGCAGACACTTATTCTGGGGAACATACACACTCACCAAGTGACTCAGGAGGCAGAATCCAGGATTTCAACTGTCGTTTCTTGCTCTTATTATATTCTAGTTAAACTTGTGTAGGTTCAACCCATGATGTAAAAGTAACCAAATGAGGGATTTGAACCTGGGTTTTTCTGTCGCCCAGGTTGGAGTGCAGTGGCACATTCTTGGCACACTGCAACCTCCGCCTCCTGGGTTCAAGTGAGTCTCGTGCCTCAGCCTCCAGAGTAGCTGGGATTATAAGCATGTGTCACTGCATGTGGCTGAACCTGGGTTTTTCTTTTTTCTTTTTATTTTTTGAGATGGAGTCTCACTCTGTCACCCAGGCTTGAGTGCAGTGGCACGATCTCGGCTCCCTGTAACCTTCACCTCCTGGGTTCAAGCGATTCTCCTGCCTCAGTTTCCAAACTAGCTAGGATTACAGGCATGCACCTCCATGCCCAGCTAATTTTTGTATTTTTAGTAAAGATGGGGTTTCACCATGTTGGTCAGTCTGGTCTTGAACTCCTGACCTCATGATCCACCCACCTCGGCCTCCCAGTGTGCTGGGATTACAGGCGTGAGCCACCGCACCTGGCCTGAACCTGGGTTTTTCTAACTTGAAACTCCATCATATTTCCAAGTTGTGATTCACTTGGACTAACACGATAAATATTTGTAAACAAATCAAATCAAAATTCTTCCACCCATTTGAATCCCAACAAAAGCATGTAAACATGCATACACAAGCATAAACATCTGCCCCTGCCCTTGCCCTCCTGAACAAAAATAATACGTCTAGATAGAAAAGCAAATGGCTCTTGATAATAAGCTGCCAGGTGAGGGGAGCCAGCTGGGTCAACCAAAGACTAAGACACACCTGGGTTTTGATTCCCTGTAGTACAACAACATCTTTAAGAGCCCAGTTCTGGCTCATTTCATTGTAATCAAAGACCAAGGTGACTGCGGTCCCCTCAAAAGAAACAGCCTTTGTTTACTTTTTCTGAACCCATTAGAATATATGGGAGGGATGACAAATCACTGTATTTAGACATCAGTAGGCGTGTGCTTCACAAATGGTCTGTTAATGAAAACACCGAGGGATGTGTTCTAAGTAAGTGTTTACTTGTTTGCATATGAAATCTTATATGATGGGAGAAGCTGACAAGAGTCAGACAGATACCATACCCTACAAAGGAGTCAACATTTGGCTGGCTGCAGGGCCCCATTTTCCACAGAGACACAGGCCAAGATACTGAAATTCCATACCTACGGCCTCCCAGTTCTTGCTCCCAATGAACTTCCGTTAGAGGAATTTTACTGAATGTCAATCATTTGACATAATGAGCACCAGTGAAAAGCATGAACTTAAGCAAGAAAATCTGCCTCCTATAAATGTTAAGGCATCATTACAGGTACCAGTCAAAATATGGTCTTTCTTAGTTGCTAGGAAAAAATAGCTATTTGTATAATGAAGGGATTAAAACAATGTGTGTGACTTGCCTCCCCACCAAACATTTACTGACATCTGGAGCTTAAATACTGAAACCTTAAAAGCAGGAAACATAAAGCACTCTAAATAGATTTACAGTGATATTGATATAACATTCTGGGAAAATCAATTTTCAAAAAGCCTTTTAATTTTTCAAGAGATAGTTTCAAGGATAATTTTTTTTTAAAGAAGAAAACCAAATAAACAACTTATTTAAAATTCTAAAGAATTAGACTTGAATACAAGAGGCAATAAGTTTGATGTCTTGGTACTTTTTCTTTCTCTTTATTTTTTTTTGAGACAGGATCTCACACTGTCACCCAGGCTAGAGTGCAGCCTCGAACTCTGGGGGCTCAAGCAAGCCTCTGGCCTCAGCCTCCTGAGTTACTAGGAATACAAGTATGCCCCATCATGCCTGATTAATTATTTTATTTTTTGTAGAGCCAGGGTCTCGCTATGTTGCTCAGGCTGGTCTGGAACTCCTGGTCTCAAGTGATCCACCCACCTCAGCCTCTCAAGGTGCTGGGATTACAAGTGTGAGCAAATGAACCCAGCCTGTTTTTCTTCATTAACAATCCTCCTTTTCTTGGGAAACACTCTCTGGCAATCATAATTGTCAGGCCTCTATTGATATTTCTTTCACCATTTTAAAGTGGATATCTCTTCAAACTGCTCTTTAGACTCCAGCATCTTTTCTTCTTCATAAACATCATCATGGCTGCCAAGAGCAGGGCTAATAGTCTTTCACTGACTCATTTTACATGACAACCTTGTGAAGTAGGTATCATTCCCATTTTACAGACGTCAGGAGACAGCTATGGAATTGACGGTGACAGAGAGAGAAGATGTTCAAATCCCAGCTTGCCACACTTTAAAGGTCATGGTTCTGCCTCTAAGCCTTGATGTCAGCACTCTTCTATTCAGAGTTCCAAAATATCCTTGATAGATTTAAGAAATGACTATAAGGTTAATTAAAATATTACCTGGACGAATGAATTGTGTGACTGATTGTCACGACATAACCAGCTCCTCCAACATCTAAGTAAGGACCAGTCAAAGAAATCAACCCTGGATTAGCTACCGCATGGAGATACCTAATGGAGACAAAAGAAAGTCATGTTATTTTAAAGTATGTACCTCTATTCTGTAAATTTCAAAGAAAAGTGAGCTTATAAGTCTAAAAATATTTATAATGAATTTTGTTTGGGTTACACTGAAATACAAAAGGATTCTCATCTTTTGTATCTGCTGTAGTATCAACACAAAAAGTAAAGAGAATCTGAAATTCCTTCTTACTTTAAAAAGAGACACTGAACCCAGTATATATCTGGGCATTTACTAAGATCTGTAGTATAGTTTTTGTTTGTTTGTTTGTTTGTTTTACAGGGTCTCATTCTGTCGCCCAGGCTGGAGTGCAGTGGTGTGATCTTGGCTCACTGAAGCCTCAAACTCCTAGGCATAAGAAATCCTCCCACCTCAGCCTTCTGAGTAGTTGGGACTACAGGTATGTACCACCACATCCAATTAATTTTTGTATTTTTTTTGGTAGAGATGAGGTTTTGCTATGCTACCAGGCTGGTTTTGAACTCCTAGGCTCAAGCAATCCACCTGCCTTGGCCTCCCAAAGTGCTAAGCTTAACAGGTAGAGACGTTTTAGAGACTAGGTAGACTTTCTGTTCTTATGTCCCATTGACTCCCCTGCTATGCTGTAGCACATTGTTAGCTTTTGCTTTTGAAAATTAAAGTCAAAATAAAGCCTAGAAGTAAAAGAATGTTTTTGAATTTGTGTGTTCATTTTTCACAGGTCATACCTAAGCTGTAACTTGACTCCATAATCATGTGTAGTAAAATGAAGTCTATCCACTAGGGACACATTTTGCATAAGGTAGGAATCAAACAAACCACTAGGAATTAAAATGGCCAAGCATAAAGAATTTCAGGCTCAAAATTTCAATGAAGAGATAAAAACACTGTAGATAGAAAAAGCCCACAAAGTGTTGTTAATGCTGCACTGAAAACACTATTCAGAAACATTTTTCACCACCACGAAAGTATCTTCTCTAGTTTAATGGCCTGAAGTTGCTTTATTGTATGTACTTACCATGTCTCTCCAGGATTTGGGGGAGAACCTTTGATAATGGAAGCCCCTAAAACTCACCATTGTCTCCTGGTGGGATCAAATGCTTTGTCCATGAGGGAACCAGGATAAATTCTGAGGACGCCATTGGGCGTTGCTATGTAACGGCGGACAATGTAAGTGTTCAGGCTACTCATTTCCATTTGTGTCATCCATTCATCTGTGACGTGGCTGGTAGCCATTACTTCATTTCTGACAGAGAACTGGGAAACAAAGGAAGACATAGCAGGGATCCTTTAAAACTCACATGAAAAGAGAGTGGGCTGCTGGCAGGGCTTCCCGAAGCTCTGCTGCAGAGAAGCCAAGCCCAATTACTTTTTAAAAATCTTTCCACAGCAGATGGATGCAGCCAAACTTGGTGAAAACAAAAGCTTGCAGAAATACAGTCAGTGGATGCATGATCACTCAATTGTTCACCCTAGCTAGGCTTTCTGAGTTTAAGAAGAAAAATTCTACAGCGAGTCATTAGTAGACACACATATACACACTAACCCTAAAGCTTTGTTCCTTAAACTTTATATTTATCTCATGAGACAGCAGGGGCACTTTACTTCTTCCCTTGGGTAAAACAGGGCTGGGAAAGTTTCACTAGTCTCTAAATCACATCCCTGTAACATCACTGGAAACCCCCAGTGCTTCTAAGGCCTGTAACAGATTCTCCACGTGGCCTACGGGGCTTCTTAATCCATCAGAAGGGTCACTGCTGGCCAGCCTCCCCTGGGCCACACCCTGCAGCTCTCCAGCTGAGAGGCACAGATGCAGAGCTGGGCTTCCTACTTCAAAGGTTCACTGCCAGCACCCCCTGCTGGGCCGGTGGAGGGGGACACCAGAAATGGAGCTCCCACCAGCACTTACTTTAAGGCCTGGGTTAGCAATGAGGCGGGTGTTGTCGCTGAGATAGGCGGTGTAGTGCTCTACCATGCGCTTTGTCTCTGGCTGGCTGAGGTGCTCATAGGGGGAGGAAAAGCTGCCAGCAGACAGCATGACGGTGGGACTTTCTGAAAGAGAAGCAAACAAAGCAGGCCTGAGAATGCAGAGACTCTATCTCATGCTGAACAAAAGCATCGCTCGGGCTCTGCCAATCCGTCAGCTATGGTGGCTTTATATATATATATTTTTCAGACAGAGTCTCGCTCTGTCGCCCAGGCTAGAGTGCAGTGGCTCGATCTCAGCTCACTGCAAGCTCCGCCTCCTGGGCTCCCACCATTCTCCTGCCTCAGCCTCCCGAGTAGCCGGGACTACAGGTGCCCACCACCACGCCCGGCTAATTTTTGTATTTTTAGTAGAGACAGGGTTTCACCACGTTAGCCAGGATGGTCTCGATCTCCTGACCTCGTGATCCACCCGCCTCGGCCTCCCAAAGTGCTGGGATTACAGGCATAAGCCACTGCTCCCGGTGGCGGCTTAGTATCTTCCACCAGGAAACAAAGAGCCCTGTGCTGAGAAGAGCTAAAAAGGAAAAGGGCCACATTCTCTCCCTTCAGGGAGCTTACGGTCCTAAAAATGAACAGGTAAAGACATGCACCAATAGACACAAGTGCTGGGAGTAGAAATTCTTCAAACTACCTGAGATCCACATGTAATATCTATGAGGAATGAGGGGACAGCTTACGACACACATGAAGCCAGTCTGGATTAAAGCCATTTCCTACCTGTGTGTGTTTCTCTCATTTGCAAAGTGGGGAAGATAATAGCAGCAATCTTATAGAAATATGGTGAGAATTCAATGAGTTAATATTTGTAAAGCAAATGAGTATTAGCTATTATTCAAATTAGTAGTATTTAAGAAAGATGGAACAGTGAAATCAATGCAAAAATCAAATAAAAATTACACAGATGGTGGCAGCAAACTTGACATAAAAGCTTCTAGAAATATAGTAGCTAATGTATACATGTTTCATTATTGGTCTGATCTAACAGGAAAATCCTAGTTCTCTAAGATAAAAATTATCACAATGAATCGCAGTGCAAAACAAAAACACTAAATCTCTGTCTTTGAGATGTTCTACCATTCAACCTTACAGTATTTTTAAAAGCTTTAGAAAGCATGATCATGTGTCCTATCTCATTTAAACACACAGGGCATCTTCTACTCCTTTTGTTAGTTCTCACACATCATGTCTTGTCTCCTGGTAGCCTGGTGATCTCTGATTGTGCTGGACATTGTACTTAAAAACTAATCTGCAGAAATAGCTTGAGGCCTAAGAAGATGGGGGATCTTTCTACAGAGAGGACTGCTGTTTTATCCTGTCTGGTGCCACACTGCAAGATGTAGCAGGTGGGGTGTTGGAAACAGTTCCCAATTAGGAGCCAGGATACTGACCTAAGCACTGTGTGACTTCAACCAATCCTATTTTAAAGGCTAATGCTTGAAGTTCCCCAAACCACTCAGATGATAGGAACCCCAAGTCAAGGCCTGATTTAACTTCAGGCCTTCCGCTAAAGATGTAGTCTTTTAGAATCTCTGCTAAAAGCATATATGTATGTGGGACTGGGGGTAAAAAATTTATTAGAGTCTCTACCTTTTGTGGACCCTGGATTTGATTTTTGCTTCTCTTCCTTGCCTGCAGTAGCTACTTAAAGCACTGTTTAATTTCACAGCTGTTTCTTCTGGATTGGTAGATATGTGCATCGCAAAAGTGGCTTTGAGTGTTGGCTCTCTCCTCCGGGTTATTATTTTCTCTGAGATTTTTGCCCAGTAATTCCTCTCTATCATGTTAGCTCTGATGCTTTACAAGATTGTAATCCAGGATTATGTTTCAATCCAGGAATTTTATTAAATAGTTGTCCTCAGTAGGCTGGGTTAGAACTACCTAGTCTGCCATTCCCAGAAAACATTAAATAATGTTATGTCTCATTTAATTCTGATGGTATCTTCACTGGCTACCCTGGGAGATTATTATTATATTAATTAACCAAAGCAAAGACAACCGAAGGCTCGAAAAGTGCCAAGCAGCATGCTGTGGATTCATGTATATATTCTTTTCTGTAAAAGAATATATGCATGTCCCTCCATGCAAGGACATGCCAAAAAGAGACAGGGTAGTTCCTGAACTCAAAGAAGTTAGGGTCCAATTGGAATGACAAAGGATAAGGAAAATAGAGAAAAATAACAATGTAAGAATAACACAATAATATAAGAAGTGTCAAAGGCATACATTCACTTCAGAGACAGAAGAGTCGCCATGGGGCTAGAGTAAAGAGAAGGAGAGGTGGCTTGGGGAGTGGGTCTCTTTTGTAGTGACAGAGACTGGCATTTTAGAAAAGGCTAGTGCAGTAAGATGAGGTGAGCACAAAGAGAAAGAATCAAGATACAGAACCCAAAGCTTTGTGTCTAGGAGGTAGACATGCTTATTTATACACACATATACATATTTAATTGCCTTAGATTATTTACTCTTTAAAAATTTTTCATTGTCTCTTTGTGTACCAAGAAAGATGATGTCCTTTCATCAGCTCACTTGAACACAGGGGACATATATTTAAGACCTGGCCTCTAAACCCCCACATCAATGAAATCAAATGGAAACTTTGCCACTGCTTCCCATATTTCCCATTCCCTTTTTATTGTATTTTAATTACTTTGGTTCATTTTCATTGCCAACTGATCCTAACTAAGATGCCCTTGATTACCTCTCCACCTTGTCCTGGGGCCTTACCATCCAGGTGAGGAAGGGTGGCAAGATATCCCAGTGAAAGTCAGACACTGGCCTATGGTCTGCTTGTTAATCGTATATAAATAATTAAGTTCATAAACTACATTATCTGAATAATCTCTATGAGACAGTGCTTTCTGTCCAACTGAAATACAATGCAATCCACAGATGTAATTTAAAATTTTCCAGTAGCCACATTAAGAAAAGCAAAAAGTGGCTGGGCACCGTGGTGCCTGTAATCCCAGCACTTTGGGAGGCCAAGGCAGGAGGATCACCTGAGGTCAGGAGTCAAGACCAGCCTGGCCAACATGGTGAAACCCCATCTTTACTAAAAATACAAAAATTAGCTGGGCGTGGTGGCACGCATCTGTAATCCCAGCTAATCAGGCGGCTGAGGCAGGAGAATCACCTGAACTCAGGAGACGGAGGTGGCAGTGAGCCAAGATCGCACCACTGTACTCCAGCCTGGGTGACAAGAGCAAAACTTCCTGTCAAAGTAAAAATAAAAAAAAAAAAAAAAGCAAAAAGTAGTATTAAATTAATTTTAATAATGTGCTTACAGAATTCAGTATATCCACAATAGCATTATGGTTTTAACATGTCATCAATATAAAAATTAAGTATGAACTTCACACTTACCATACACCTCAATTTGGACGAGCCATATTTAAAGTGCCCAATAGCTACATGTGGCTAGTGGCTGCCATATTGGAAACTGTAGTTTTGAGAGATTATGCAAAGGAAATAAAAAATCTAGGCTTGAGCTTCTTTTTCATCAAGAAAACTACTGTACTTTACTGTCTTAAATTTCAAAACAGTGACCTAATTTTCACCAGCAGTAGCCTGCTCACACAGAACTTAAAAGAAGTATGTACACATTGGCGTTTCAGTAAAGCATTTCTTAAAAATACGAAAATTTTAAACATACTTTTTTGTATAAAAACGAACAAAACCCCAAAGACCAAATCAAAATGAAGAAATATAAAATCCTGCCTTCTTGGATCAATATCACTGGCTCTATCCAAATTGTCAGCACTGCTGGGAGGTATCCCAGAAGAGACCACTTAGTCCAGCCTGCTCTTCTGATCTCATGTTCAGGCAGAACTCTCGAGGATGGAATTTAAGGGAGGAACACAAACACGAGTGCTATCACTTGAAATCTAGAGACTGCAGACTTCTAGCCTTGATTTTATTCCCATCGGTTCCCCTTCTTCTCAGTTGGCCAGTTATGTCATGATTCTTAGTTATTAACTGTTTTGAACCCTAAGTCTTTTCAACAGTGAAAAAGAGAATACCTGTTTTACTGTACTGTGAGTATACTGTGGTTTGGTGACAACATAGATCACGAATGCCTAGTATGTGCCTGGCACATGGCAGAGCAGAGGTGCATGGGTCAAATTTCAGCTTTGCTATATTTTATGTTATCTGGGGGAAAATTATCTTTGGTAAACCCAAATCAATCACTCGTCAACTCAGATGAAAAATAAAAAACATCTGGTATGTAATAAATGTAAATTCCTTTTTGCTTCCTTTGAATTATCTTCGTATTCCTAAGCCCTTTTGAAGATAGGGATCTATGGTAGATTACTGCTGATATGCTACATAGATTCCTTGGGATGCCTTTTATTGTTATTCTACCCCACCTCACCTCAATATCCCCACACTTACATGTTTACCTTTAATGGGCTGTATCTGTGCCTCCCTCTATGGACTTTGGGCTACACTGAAAACTCTGTGCCTAGCACTAGAAGAAAGCTGAAAGTGACTAAGAAATATGAAAGCTGAGTTAGTTCTCTTCATAGAGTCTGGGCAAACTCTATTGGTGTAATTTATACTCCAGAGCCCCCCTAAAAGACCAGGCTGAAGTTAAAACTTCACTCAACATCAAACTTTTCTTTTCTCCCTTCCTTGTCCTGTTTTCCTCACTTCCTCACTGGTTTCTCAAAGCCCATCCTGTATAAATCACCAGCACACAAAACCTTGTCTCAGCGTCTGCTAGACGACCTGATTCGAGGCCAGGCTTCAAATCGTCTTCACATTTGTATCCCCAAACCAGCTGACTCTGCAGGCATTCAGTATCTTTTTTTGGGGTGTGGGGTGGATGGTATTCAAAAGGATATTTACAGTGAGCTGCTAAGAGTAAGAACGTGAAGGAAGTGTAAGGGCTTTACCTAGGGTTGCCAGCTGTTTGAAGTGGAGGCAAGCACTGGGCTGGCCCAGGAGATCCAGCCGGTGGTACAGCAGCTTGCTGCTGGGAACAGTGTTGAGGTTCTTCAGTTGTTTCACAGGTATTTCTGGTTGTATCACCACAATACACAGAATAAAGGAAGTGTCTTGTACCTGTAAAAATCAATAAAGAATTTCTAACCTAGAAAATGAGGGTTCCATGGGGACAGAGACTTTGCATACATTATTTTCTGCTGCCTTTATCTTCTATCCTCACATGGAAGGTGTTCATTAAATATATGATGAATGAATGAAGATATGAGGACAGGGTGATAGAAGGTATCTAATTTTATATTTTCTGTTTTCTCTTCTTGTTGAGGAGACTTGAAGTATGTAACAGAAAATCATGGGGCTAACAAAAGGATAAGAAAAGAGTCCCTTTGAAATGTGACCCTAGCCATTTTTTGCTAATGTGGGTTAATAAGCACAAGCTAGAACAGGACATAATAATACAACACTTATTTCGATTTGGATTTGAAATGCACTTAAAAATATGTAATTGGTTTTGCAATAAGTGTTCTGAGAATTGACTATTTTTCAAGCCAGTAGTGAATTCTCACTTTAAAAGAAAGGATTGAGGAGCAGCCAATACAGAATCAAGTTCATTCATTCTATTCCAACTAACGCTTTCTCTTGTCCTGGTTGGAAATGACCAACATCACTACTTAAACTCATGAAAAATACAAATCCTATGGCACCCCTGCAGAGTCGGCCTGATTTGTCATTGCAGACCATCGTAGGCAAGTGTGCCATAGCTTAAAAAGTAGTCTAATTTATTAAGCTCATATGCAGAAACAGTAGTATTTCCAGATTCACTTTGTGCCTAGAAATGGATGCCTCAACAAAATTTAGTGGGGACAATTCCACCACAGAATCAAAAGCCAATCTACCTAGTTCTAGCCACTTGATAAAGACTTAAAAGTAAAAGAAAGCCAAATGTCTCGATTATTATCCTATTACATTAGAAGAAAGATAGAACCTATTTAAAGATGGTTTATAAATAAATGAAGAGGCTGATGACTAGCAAAATCAGAACTAAAGAACGGTGCCTTATAAAGCAGCTCATGTGATTTACTTAGTGAAGTAAAAGTAAAAGATAAAGGAGAAAATTTTAACTAGGTAGGTTAGAGTTAAGTGAAATTTAGGATTTGTGAGGATGGTGGCAGACTCTTAAACACAGAAGCAATTTGTATCTTCCTGGAATTGCTTTCAAGTACTGCTGGCAAAGATATTCACTTAGATTAACAAATTTAATCCTCTTCCTCCATTCCCCAAATTACAAATTGACAAGGTGCTCTGAAGTGGCATTTAGTATTTTCTCTCTTTTCAATCTCACAGTCATCCTTTAAGTTTGTCTTCCTATGTTGTGTGTTCCAAGGAACCAAAAGACAAAATCCTACCAGAATGATTAGAATATAATTTTATAATTGGGTCTATTCTCTAAGAGAAAAATAAAGTTACCGCAAGTTTCTAAAAGTAGTACTTCATAAACAGCTCTTAGGAAAGTGGATTTCAATATAGGTCTTTCTGTCATGTTCTTAGCTGAAAAAAAAAGTCTCTACATTAAAAGGAACTCTGTTTCTAGAAGAGCTCTCTATGGGTTGGGAGTGGGTTTTTTTTACTGATTGTAACATGGGATCCATGTTTTGAAGTGAAGCAGGCCTGTGTAACATGGGAACATGTCAATACCTTCTAATAGTCAGTACTTCTATCAGAGCAAACAGCCTCCTAAAATGCTAAAAAATGCACTTGGGTTACTCAGTGACAGAGTAATCTCTTAATGCTGCTAACACAATCTCTCAAGTTATATTTAAATTAATTCAGCAAAATAATCCCTCAATATCTGCTATATCTATGAGTGTTAAGCAGTTTAGCCAATTGTCCTCAGGATAAGCTAACTCTGTTTGGATTATATTAGAAGAAACCATTTTATTTTTTAGGACAAGATGAGTTATCTACCCTCCTCCCCAACAAAGTAACTAAAGAGATCTTAAAAATATTTGCCCTTATTACTGGGTAACCAGCCTAGCATTTTTTTTTTCAAGTCTCCAATCTCATTATTTATTATCTCCTTAAGTTTTCACTTATAGTGATCTGCTCAACAATTTTAGAACTTGGAGAAAGCTAACACTGCTACCTGAAGTGACTGCATGATTACCACCTCGAATCTGCCTAAGGAGAATAACCAGAATTTACTAGGATCACTGAAAAAAACACAGTAACATTGAGGCTCTTTACTGTACACAGATGCCTACATTTCCTGCTTTTCCTTTTAATGCCAACAACCATGAAGATATTTTTCCAGGATGTAGCTGAGTTGCTTTCAATCAGAATATGCTGGAGGTAAATAATCTCTAATTTCAAACACAAAAGTCTGTTTTCTAATTTGGTGACTGGCTCACCCTTTCTGATACTAAAATTAAATAATTTGTCTTTAAAAATGATATAAATATAAGGGCAGATGGTGCTATCATTCTAAAGAAAAATCTGAAAATGAATCAGTTAAGAGAATTTCAAAATAGGCTTTGACCTTCCTCCAATGTGTATTACCAAACAACAAACTACCAGTAGAATTAGGCTGGTAAACGTTAAGTTTCTCAAATAGTTTCATTTATTAATTTGTTTGCTTCATTTGCATTTTAGTAATTGCTACTGCAATAGTGATACTTTAAGAACCAAACAAGAAGGTTGGAAGAGACTCCTGCCTAAATGCATTCTGGGTACTCCCAATTCCTATCTTTCCTGATCCAACTGATAAAGGCACAGACACTGTGTCGAGTTGCTCTTTGACTGTCTGCATCCACCACTAGGCTCGATGCTCTATGAAGGCGGACAGAGTGTCAATCTTCTTTATCCTTCTTAGTATACAGAAAATGTTCAATAAGTAGTTTGTAAAGGGATGATTAAATGGATCTATTTAGAGTCAACAGGTTAAACATCAGATTTGTCCATCCAAGAAAAATCTCATGCATGACTGCATTTTATGTTCAGTGATTAAAATTTGATGATAAAAATAAAAGTCCACTCCCCTTTTGGTCAGTTATCATATTTAGGGTCCTTCAACAGCACTGCTATGCTAATTGGGAAGGAAGAGGAGAGAAAAGAAACACAGGTAATGTGAACAGTGTGTGTTAGATCTGCTTTCTCTGTGATTCCTTGAAGCCTGGTGTCTGAATGAATCTGGTAAGAGAAAGCAGAAATGGGTGCCACAAGTTATGGCCAAACTATTGATCTGCTTGCGTTGAACATGAATAATCCAATTTCTAATCTAAGATTTTCTTTTCCTTAGAGAATGTCAGAGGGTACTTATGCTTTCACGTCTCCTTTTAAACTCCCAACCTCCACAATTTGAGTTGAACTGAAAAAATCCAACTGGATATAATCGAAATGTGCATTAATAGGGGAGTGTTTAGAGAAATTTGGGTCATCTACACAAAGCAATACTATATAGCCATTAAAGCCGTGTGTGAGCATATATACACACACACATATATATGCCTGCCATTAAAGCCGTGTGTGAGCGTATATACACACACACATATATATACCTGCCATTAAAGCCGTGTGTGTGTATATACACACACACATATATATACCTGCCATTAAAGCCATGTGTGAGCGTATATACACACACACATATATATGCCTGCCATTAAAGCCGTGTGTGAGCATATATACACACACACACATATCGCCTACCATTAAAGCCGTGTGTGAGCGTATATACACACACACATATATATACCTGCCATTAAAAATAGGTGTGTGGCGTATATACACACACACACACATATGCCTGCCATTAAAGCCGTGTGTGAGTGTATATACACACACACACATATATATGTCTGCCATTAAAAGCCTGCCATTAAAGCCGTGTGTGAGCGTATATACACACACACTCATATATATGCCTGTCATTAAAGCTGTGTGTGAGTGTATATACACACACATACATATATATGCCTGTCTGTATATACACATTTTCTGGAAATTGATCTAAGTGGCTACTTATGGGGAATGGAAAGTCAAAGGAAGGAAGGAAGTGGATAGTTTTGGCGCTGTCATGGCTCACTGCAGCTTCAACCTCTCAGGCTTAAGCAATCCTCCTACCTCAACCTCCTGAGTAGCTGGGAATACAGCATGTGTCATCACGTCTGGCTAATTTTTACATTTTTTTATAGAGATGGGATTTTGTTATGTTGTCCAGGCTGGGCATAGTTTACTTTCTGCTTTCTATCCTTTTATATGGTGTGATGAATTCATCATGAACAATTATGAGTTTTATAAACAAAAAGGGAAAAATAACTATACAACATCTGTGGAATGTCTTCTTTCTCAATCACTTTAAAACCTGGTTAGTCACATTCTGAGACACAATATCAGACCCAAGTGCCACCCCCTGCCCGAGAATTCCCATATGAACAAGAGCACTGCACCCTGTAGCTCTTCAAGCAAAAACAACTTCCTCTCACTCACCATCTTCCAGGCATAGCTAACATTGTAGGCTTCCTTTCCAGTTTCTCTCAGCTTGTTTATGTGCCAAGACAGGGATGAGTTCACAGGGACTGCGATAATCTGGCTGCCCAGAGGGAGGCTGTGTTGGCAAACAGAATTAAATATTTCAGGCAAAAGATAAAATTAAGCACTTAATTAAAGGCAAGGAAGAAGCTGTGAGCCAATGGCCACCTCCTGATTTTGAATACCAATGAAACTCATCAGTTTTGAAAGAGATAATGTGAGATTTTCAATTTCGTAAAAGCATTATGTCAGCTCTGCATTAAAAACATTCCTTACTCTCCATCCTTGCTCCCCAACTCTAATTCTTTCCAGAGACTAACTTGTCTCAAATCGCTCAGTCGTTAATTTTCAACCAATGAGCACAAAGACTCATTCCTCTACAGGTTACCATCTGCCAAAATAATGTATCACAGTTGGAAAAAATCCAATCTGTTTTTTATTTTAAGAAAAAACAATGTATAAGATTGTGCTGTCAACTTGGAATGGACGCTACTTTGCCAGGCTATTTTTTGGCAAATGCAACAAAGCTGGTCCTCAACTTAGCCTTTTATTTTGCCAACATTTTTCAATTTGGTATCGTTGGAACTTTTTTTTGAAAATGAGATGAAATATATCTGATTTTACAATGAAAGTCAATGTGAACACAGAATTTGATTTACAAGACATTATCCTCAAATGATAGTTCCAAGAGACCTTATCTGTGATAAAAAGTGAGCAAAATCTTGGGTGCTATTCTTATGGAAACATTACTGAGAATACTTTTGATAACATTAAAATAATTTACACACTTGTTTTACACTTTATAGTAAATACTCGTATGTGGCTTTGATGGGTCCCATTCTCAGGGAAAAAGAATCCTATGACCCTCACCTTTTCCTTACCTGAGGATATTTTGCCGAACTAATTCAAATTTTGGAATATTTTCATAATGTATGATGTCAGTATGAAGTGGGGGCTCTGATAATAAATATGGCCTGGTAAGAGATGGGTGCATAAGTGTATATCCTGCAATAAGAAAACAAAGTGCATGTTAATAAGAAACATGTTGTAGGAAGTTCTGAATCACTGTTTTGAAATATGGGGTACTCTGGGCTGGCTGCCCAATATTCAGCTTCTCATTGTGCAACTCACCAGTCCAATAAAAACTGAACCTGTTTTATATGTGCTTATATAAAACTCATGCAGCGTGGAAAGATGTCTTAAATTATCAAACATCCGTCTAATCAAGAGTATTTTGGAGGTATTGGTTGTTTTGTTGTTTTATAAAACATTCTAATCTACCACATAAATCTTAAGTAAATCTAAGATAAAAATTTGGTAAAAAAAAAAAAAAAAAAAAAAGATCCAAAGGATGACATTCTTTTTTTGTTTCTTTAACTTCTTTTAACTTTTTAACTTCAGGGGTATATGTACATGTTTATTATATAGGTAAGCCTGTGTCGTGGGGGTTTGTTGTACAGATTATTTTGTGACCCAGGTACTAAGCATAGTACCCAATAGTTATTTTTTGTGCTCCTCTCCCTTGTCCCTCTTTCCACCCTTAGGGAGCCTCAGTGTCTGTTGTCCTCCTCTTTGTGTCCATGTGTTCTCATCATTTAGCTCCCACTTATAAGTGAGAACATGCAGTACTTGGTTTTCTGTTCCTGAGTTAGTTTGCTAAGGATAATGGCCCCCAGCTCCATCTATGATCCTGCAAAGGACATGATCTCATTCTTTTTTAAATGGCTGCATAGTATTCCCTATGTACCACATTTTCTTTATCCAGTCTACCACTGAGGGGCATTTAGGGTGATTCCATGTCTTAGCTATTGTGAATAGCACTGCAATGAACATACAGGTGTCTTTATGATAGAACGATTTACATTTCTTTGGGGGTGTGTGTGTGTATATATATATATATCCAGTAATGGGATTGCTGGGTCGAATGGTAATTCTGTTTTCATCTCTTTGAGGAATTATCACACTGCTTTCCACAATGGCTGACCTAATTTACATTCCCACCAAGAGTGTTCAAGTGTCCCCTTTTCTCAGCAACCTCGCCAGCATCTGCTATTTTTTGACTTTTTAATAATAGGCATTCTGACAGGTGTAGGATGGTATCTCACTGTGGTTTGGATTTGCATTTCTCCAATGATCAGGGATACTGAGATTGTTTTCATAGGCTTGTTGGCTGCATTATTTCTTCTTTTGAAAAGTATCTGTTCATGTCAAAGGATGATATTCAATGTGTCATTCAATCCTCCAGTCTAACTTCCTGATTTACAAATAACTGTTCCCTACCCCTCAAAGAACACAGAAACACATGTGTAATTTGGAGATCCACTCTGCCATCTTTATGGTGTTCTACTACAAATGAGCAATCTTAGTCACAATGCTCTTCTTTACACTATAATTTTTCTATTTTGTTTGTAGAATATCTATACCTTATCTTCTTTAGGTTTCTAAATAAGTATTCTTAGGATGAACATTTAGCAGATTACCTTTGTCGTCTATGAGAAAAGTATAGGAAGCCAAAGAGTCTTGGTAATATGTCACGTCTTCAAGAATATAAGCCAGATTCACGTCCACACCTACAATTCCCAGAAGTAGGTTTCCAAAATAACAGGGTTTACTCACAGTCATTATCAAACCTATGGGTTAAAAACAAAATAAATCTAAAGAATAGCAGAGAAGGAATTGGACAAAGACTGGCACTGTGCTCTGGTGAATCATGAAGGCTTCTACCAGCTGTCTCAATTTTGTTTGGAAGAAAAGTTTCCCATGTGGTCCAGTAATCAAGCACTGCCTTTGCAGACAGCGTAATAAATGAGTTAGAGTGGGAGGGAAAGAGCGATCTTTGGCAGCTCAGTTAGCGCAGTTAATTCAAATGGAAGCAATTTCTATGTTTTCCACTACTTTTTCACCTAAAAAGATAAGATATTCCAGATCAGTGCAAAACATCAGCAGCACTAAATACAGTTTTTCTATTTCGTGAAGTAGGTAGATTCAGCTGAATTTGAAAGATCAATGGACAATGAATCTAAAAACTGTACTTATAGTCCAGCTGTACCCCTTTTGTATTGTATAGGTGACATTGGATATAACTTCTCCGAGTCTTGGTTCACACATCTGCTTATTTTTTTTAATTTTAATATTTCGAGATGAGATCTCACTCTGTCACCCAGGTTGGAATGCAGTGGTGCGATCATAGCTCATGGTGGCCTCAACTGCCTGGGCTCAAGTGATCATCCCTCCTCAGCCTCCCAAGTAGCTGGGATTATGGGGATGAGCCACTGTGCCTGGCTCACACACCTGTTTAAAGGATACAGCATTAACTGCTTTACTGATTTCTAGGAAATGTTAGATCAAAAGAGACTACAGATAAACGAATGCTTAAAAGGTATTATTACTATACCCCATTAATGCATCCTCTAAAGAAAGGTGAAAACAAGGGGAAAAAAACTTAGAAAGGTACAGTATCTGAACATACAGAACTTCAAGTAGCTGAAGGAGGAATTAAGTTTCCAAAGGAATGTATTTCCAGTCATTCAGGCCAGGAGTTCCTACATTTTTATGTAAGGGGTCAGACAGGAAATACTTCAGGCTTTGTGGGCTACACAGTCTCTAGTGCATAATTTTTCCTTCTTTTTTTTTTTTTAAAATAACCTTTTCAAAATATAAAGGCCGTATTTAGGTAATAGGCCATGAAAAACAACAACAACAACAATAATAGGATAACTAGGGAAAGGGCAAAGCACACAGGAGGAAAATGCAGAAACAGAGTGTGCTGATGGTGGGTCAATGCATGGCCCTGAGATCGAGACACCTGGTTTCTCCTCGTGGCTTCCCTGCTGAGTTTGGTAAGTTGTGCTACGTCTTGGAATGAGTCTGTCCATATATCAGATGGGGTGCGGGGGTGAGATAAAATGATCTTTACGATCCCCAACAATTATACAACCCTATGGCTCTAAAGAAAACTCTAAACAAAAAGATGGATTGTTTATCTTTATCTTGATTTTGTGCTTTCCTGTGCTTGATGTCATGTTGATGTCTATCAGCCTATCAGAAAGCCATTCTTCTAGAAACATCCAGCAAAGGGATTAAACACTCCTGAAGGCTTCTACAAAGAATGAGCTTCTACACAGAGAATTGCATATGATGCCCACTTGAGGTATTATCGAGTTGCTATGGTTGCATAGGCCAACTAAATGCATCATTTGGTAAGAATAAGTGGACACATCACTGAAAAAGCTTCTGAAGTCATGCAATGGGTCTCTATTTTGGTTTCAAAAGCATTTTTTTAAGCAGTTCATATTTAGAATGCTATCTGTTTTAAAACGTTTTAAAATAACAGGCATTTAAGAAGGTTTTAGAAATGCATTTTGGAGAAGGTTTTTCCCAGGTCTCCCAGGATAAATAGGTTGTAAGTGGCAGGAGCAGGCTGAGAGGACCAGCATGGAGACAGAGGTCACAATCTGCCCGCCACAGTCCCCTGAGCTTTAGTCTAGGATTAAAGCCATTTTCATAGATCAGTAAAGTACAACAGAAATACTCAGTGACTGAGATGCCTGTTCGCTTCAAATTTCTATTCTCCTCTGGACAGGTTGAGAACAAAGTCTTAAAAAAGAAACACAATCTTACTTTTCAATTATCAACTGGGACAGAAGACTCTTGATCCCATTATGGCAAATAAAGTATGCTAAGCTCCTGTTATACTGACAAAATCCTCAATCACTCTCTCTGCTTTAACCTAAAGCACATAGATTTACTATTTAAAAAGAAATATGTTCAGTAACTGATATTTTAATCTGTGTAGGTTTTGAACTACAGTCACATAAACATGGGTTTCCCTAGAATCAAGCCTCATGTCATGGAGTTCGAGGATGTGTCACTCAATAATTCTAGGGACTGAAAAGACAGACACACTCCAGCAGAGGAATTCAATAGGTCTGTGAACCAATCACTGAAATCCACGGCACAGGATTCATAACACAGGCCCCAGGAGTAAAATTTGGATGGTATCAGGCAACAGGTGGCCCAATTTCTACATGTGATTTGGTTTAAAGCATTCAGGGTAAATCCAGCTCTCTGGATTTAGGAGGGAGTCCCACCCTACCTGATACCACTATTGATAATAGAATTTGGCTATATAAACTTCTGAGTTTGTGAAAAACTGGATTTCTACATCTTTTGTCCCTTTCACACAGTCTTAACAGGAATTACTGATTTGCCTTTCTCTTCTCAGACTTACAAGCTTACTGAGGGTAGGAGGTGAGCCTCACTCATCACTGCCTGGCACAATGCTTGCTGGCACTCAGTAATGCAGGCTACATGCATAAAAGGGAACTTGGATTTAAGACTTCATGTTTTCACTAAAAAGGGAAATAACCTTATCTAAAAGTGAGAGTTTCTATTCTATACACATTTGTAGGCCCTGACAGTAATAGGAGTGATTTAAAAAAGTGAGGCTGGGCATGGTGGCCCACACCTGCACTTTAGGAGGCAAAGGTGGGAGGATTGCTTGAGGCCAGGGGGTCGAGGCTGCAGTGAACTATGATCACGCCACTGCACTCCAGCCTGGGTGAGAGGGAGGGGCCCTGTCTCTTTAAAAATAAAAATTGAGATATAACGGCAGTTGGCTTATTTCTTCTTTATAGAAAGAGAATGTCTACCTAGTTTCTAGAAAACACCTTCTCTATAGGCTTGTTACTTTTTACACGAGTTAAAAAAAAATTCATATTTGTGAGAGTTCCTAGCTAACAGAACATAAATATAGTATCTCAAATGGCAATGGTGCCTGTCTGGCTAATACTTAGCTACTTCTTCAATTTTCTTCTCTGTCAAGGAAGGAGAGAGGGGAGGATATAGAGAAAAGCGTGGAGGAGGGAAAGAACATGGAGAAGTAAAAGAAAAAGATCATGCGTTTACTGAAAATATACTGTTAGGCATTGTTCTAGATGTTTTTATTATTATTGCATTTAATCTTCGCAACTGCCTTGAGAGAAATGTTGTATTTTCTGTTATATTTTCCAGATTCTATTTTATAGGTCAGGAAATTGAATCCTGTAAAGGTTCAGTACTTTACTCAACATCCTGTTATGGGTAACTTAGGCATCAGGATGATGGCGACGCTGATGTTAGTAATAATAACAATGACAACAACAAAGGTAAAATACATTTAATAAATGAAATAAAAACAGTAATTATAATTGAATGGTATGCCGGTCATGTGTTATCATATATTTTATAATATCTAGGTAATCCTAGATTAACTAGATAATGACAGGTCATATATGTTATCTAGTTAATCCTAATCTGAAAGATTTACTATCCCATTTTACAGGTGACCAAATGGAGAATTAACACCATTAAATAACTTACCAAGGACAACACCTCAAGTGGAAGAGTGGAATTTGAAAGCCCATCTGAGGCCAGGCCCGTGTTTGTGCCACGATACCACGTTGCCTTGTCTCAGGCTGAATCCTCGGCACTTCTGAGTTTCATTTCCCATGTGCCATGATACAAAGCTACCCTTTAGTCCTAATTCACAAAACTTTTAGATATTTGAGAATCCTCACATAGCCTCCCCAGAGGAAACATCCATTATGTGTACTCTGGCCAGGGTAATAAGGAAGAACCTGGGCTGGGGATTTCTGCTGTACAATACAGAGCTATAGGACAGGTGGCAGGGGTGCTAAGAAATCCTATGATCCTGAGAAAGAGGCACCCATTTCTATACACCCAATTCTTTTCCCCTTCCTTTAACAGGAAGTTTATCCAAACTCACCATCTCCCATCTCATCAGAGAAGGGGAGGCTGAAGACGGCTTCATCAATCATCCGGTTGGGAAGGTTTGTGTAGAACCTGCCCACTGTGGTCTCCAGGTTGCTCAACTGGTTCAGCACCATCATGCTGCCCTTAATCACAGGCAAGGCCGTCCGGTCTGGCACACCGTACTTCCCTGAATTCTGTTCAGCTAGATCCCTCAGAAAAGCCAGTTCTTTCAAACCAGTCACCCCATCTAAAATGGAAAGCCGAGAGAAGACCACGGAAAGCAAAATGGTTTATATTCATTCAACCTCTTGCCATTTAGATCGAATACAGGCATGGATGAGGTCTTGTAATACCAAAGGGGTTTTTGCAGAGACCGCGTGGACTCTGGACACAAATACCAGTTCCTGCTGAGGAAACAAAGCCTGAGGCATGGTCTTCCCTGAAATAGTCAAGAGGGGAAAGGGACTCTTCACACGGCAATGATGAAAAACATATGCGTAAATAAAGGAGTCCCATTCAGTAAGAATGTGTTCTCCCCATAAGTTAATTATAAAATGAAAATTCATTTCTGCATTTAATATTTAAAAAGAAAAGTAATAATTAACACATCTGTATTTAATTTAACGTAGTAGATGAAACCATAAGAGTTTTAAAGGATAGAGGTTTATCCTTTCATTCCTTACTTCTTCACCTATAAAACCACTTGCCAAAGTCTCATGCAACTAAATGAAAGAATTATGGACTACATTTATTGATGCTTCCAAACCCTGTTTCTTTAAGCTCATTTTAATTATAAACATATTCATACTTGATATTGTTAAGATAATACTGAATTTGATTTATTTAATAAAAATTTTTTACATTTAGAGGGTTTTGAAAACTTTGTACAAAATTTAGGCATACTGGGAATGTATTGTTCTACAACATCTGTAATTTATAGCACAAAAATAAATGTAATACTTTTTTTTTTTTTAGTTTGCTTTTGTTGGAACATAGTCAAAAGGATTAGAAACTGATTGCATATGGGAACTGTTGTAAACGAATTCAAAATGATTTCAGTCACTACTGAGGTTCTACCACTTCATTGTAAAAAGGTTTTGTCTCATGTTCCTGAAGATTTCAATATCAAACCATGAACTATTCAGTCATTAAAAAGAATCTGAAGCTTTCATGGTTCATCTACCACATACGTCTTTAGCATTTCTACAAAGAGAGTGTACATACTTCTAGCACTGGAAGTCCACTTCTAAAATCATGGCAGAACAAAATAAACATTAATTTCTTTCCCCCACCCCCTACCTTTTTTTTGAGACAGAGTTTCACTCTGTCACCCAGGCTGGAATGCAGTGGCACAATCTTGGCTCACTGCAACCTCCACCTCCTAGGTTCAAGCAATTCTCATACCTCAGCCTCCCAAGAAGCTGGGATTACAGGTATACACCACTATGCCTGGCTATTTTTTTTTTTTTTTTTTTTTTCTATTTTTGGTAAAGATGGTGTTTCACCACGTTGACTAGGCTGGCTTCGAACTTCTGACCTCAAGTGATCTGCCCCCCTTATCTCCCAAACTGCTGGGATTACAGGCGTCAGCCACCATGCCTGGCCTATCATTTCTTTCTTAAAACACATTATATTTAAATAAACTTGACTTTTGCTCCACGCATGCAATACTAAAAGAAAGGAAAAAATATCTGGGCCGAATTAAGTCAGAATCAGATTATTGTTCCCTTTGCATGGCACAGAGCTGGGATGGAGGGTGAGGGGTACACTCCAGAGTAAAAGTTAACACCAAAGACACGACTGATACCTGACCTTATATCCTTGAGAAGCTCACAGAAGTAAAACAATAAAAGAAGAAAACTCGAGCAATAAATAAATTTCCCTTCTTTGTCATGTACTGCTTGAGTCTCTCAAAACGTAAAAGAAAAGTGACAACCAAGAATATCTACTAGGCAAAGAAGAGTAGCATGGGATGGAAGGTTATGGAGGATTGAGTATGAGGTGTTACTCCATCATGAGATTTCATGCAGCGGTGGCAGTGGGTCAGTAGGGTGGCTGCTTGGTAAGTATGCTGGGATGCCTATTATCAACATGGTCATGCTAGAAACTACATTTCCCAGGATCCTCTTTTCTAGTATGCTACCAGGTTAAAGGTGCAAAAAGTGAGGGCTGTATTGCGAGATTTGGGGGACAAAGTAAGAAGTGGTGAGAGACAGACACTGAGGGGCCAGAATGCTCCAGTTTGTCCTACTTTTCTCTGTGTTCAGCTCCCTTTCCCAGCTGCTGACCTGCTCACGATAGCAACCCCAGGCATGTTCCAGATGCTTCACTGAGCATGCACGGGGGCCGGCAGCCACAAAAAGCCAATATCTTTCCATGGACTTCTATACCAGGTCTCCTAAGTGGTCTTCCACGTTCCTAGCTTCCAGACTTATTAGACTTCCCAGCAGGCCCCAACTTGGTTACTAAACTTTCTGAGATGTCAACTCCCCACCTTGGGTCTTTCATTTTTTTTTTCTCCCACAATTTCTCCCAGTTTCTCCCACAATTGTGTGCATTCTAATTCTGACAATAAACTCTTTTTTAAATTTAATTTTTATGGGTACATAGCAGGTGTATATATTTATGGTATACATGCGATGTTTTGATACAGGTGTTCAATGTGTAATAATCACAGCAGAGTAATTGAGGTATGAATCACCCCAATCATTTATCATTTCTTTGTACTATTAGGAACATAAAACTTATACTGTATTAGTTATTTTAAAATACATAATAAATTACTATTGACTATAGTCACCCTGTTATATTATCAAATACTATATCTTATTCATTCTATCTAACTATATTTTTGTTAGATAGAATGTAAACATCACCAATCAATACCCATTAACCATTCCCAATCCCCCCAACTTCTCTGGTACCCTTCCCAGTCTCTCATCCCCAGTAGTTCAAGTGTTTTATTTATTTTATTTTTATTTTATTTTTTGAGACAGAGTCTCACTCTACTGCCCAGGCTGGAGTGCAGTGGTGCCATCTTGGCTCACTGCAACCTTTGACTCCCAGGTTCAAGCGACTCTTGTGCCTCAGCCTCCTGAGTAGCTGGGAATACAGGCGTGGGTCACCACACTTGGCTAATTTCTGTATTTTAGTAGAGATGGGGATTCACCATGTTGGCCAGTCTGGTCTCGAACTCCTGACCTCAGGTGATCGGCCTGCCTCGGCATCTCAAAGTGTTGGGATTACAGGTGTGAGCCACTGAGCCTGGCCCAAGTATTTTAATTTTTAGCTGACAACAAATTCTTTATTCCAAGGTTCTCTTAGTCAATCTGTTTCCCTATTTGTAAGTAAGATAAGTGTGTCTACTCTAGTGAACCACACGTAGAAACAGCATTCTGAGAAGGAAAGAGAAAACTGGCAGTGAGGATGTGTGTCTGGTTAGATTAAAGGAAGAAAGATAAGAGAAAAGGATGCTGAGATGGAAGTAACTAGAGATTCTAAAGTATGGAATTACTGGAACACAGAAAGTGTGTAAGAGACTCTGGTTGAAGAATTTAGGACCAGTGAAGAGAATGGGTTGCAGCAAGGAAGTAAGGAAGCATCTGCCTGGGCAGACCTTCAAATCTAATGGAAGAGAAGCAATCCCTTCCTTTTGGGCCTCCTGACTCCTCTACTATTGAATTTCATTCACCTTCTGTGTGTACCTATCTTCCTCACTGGGTCATAAACATCTTGGAGACAGGAACTTTGCATAATACAGCTCTGAAACCTCAGTACCCTATATCGTACATGGTAGGTGGTCAGTAAATTTTATTTTCCTCCCTTCCTCCTTTTCTCCCTCCCTTCCTACCTCTCATGAATGAAAGAAGCCAACACAAAGGAGAAAAGAGCAACAGGCGATCAGAGATGACACTGACGGGCACGTGCCCAGGCATCCTCACTCACCTCAGCTGCGTTCAGTCCTGTGCTAAGCGCTCAGAATGCAAAGAAAACTAAGACATAGTTCATGCCTGAGAAGTTCACATTCTTGTGGAAAGTGGAGGGGGAGAGAGAGAGGACAGTATGTGAGCACCTTACTACAGTATAATGGGAGTCATGCTTATCAGAATTAGGCACAAGGTGCCAGGGGACAAAGAGGACTGGACAGAGATCTGGGCCTGGATGGCAGAGCTCCACCTCTGAGCTATGCTGTCTGAGAGAGGAAACCATATAAGCTTTCATAAACTCTTTTCACTGGTTTTGAGGACCCATTTTTTTTTTTTTTTTTTTTTTTTTTTTTTTTTTTTTTTTTTGAGACGAGTCTTGCTCTGTCGCCCAGGCTGGAATGCAGTGGTGGGATCTCAGCTCACTGCAAGCTCCACCTCCCGGGTTCACGCCATTCTCCTGCCTCAGCCTCCTGAGTAGCTGGGACTACAGGCGCCCACCACCATGCCCAGCTAATTTTTTTGTATTTTTAGCAGAGACAGGGTTTCACCGCGTTAGCCAGGATGGTCTTGATCTCCTGACCTCGTGATCCGCCCACCTCAGCCTTCCAAAGTGCTGGGATTACAGGCGTGAGCCACAGAGCCCAGCCTTTGAGGACTCATTCTTTACCAGGTACTACGTTAAGAACTTTCAACACAATCATATATTGCTTATTTATTATTACAACAACCCTATGCAGTAGATTTTACTATTTTTCATTTCACAGATAAAACTGCAGTCTAAAGAGATTAAGTAATTTGCCATAAGCCACACGACTAGCAAATGCAGACAGCAGCTAAGGACCACTAGACAACAGAGCCTGTGTTCTCTCAAGTGTGGTCTAGAAAACATTTGGAAGAGAATCACCTTGGCCAAAATGAAGATTCCTGAACCCCTCCTAAGAGGATATGAATAAGAATCTGAGAGCAATGCCTGGAAATCTGCATTTTAAAGCCATTCCCCAAGGAATCCTTAGCACATCAGAATATGAGGCCCACTGTCCCTAAATCACATGGTTCTGCATGGAAATTTTGCAGGTGACAAGAGAAACAAAAGATAGTCGGTGGGAAAGGGTGCTCAAGACCTGGCTTTTTTTTTTTTTTTTTTCTTTTTTTTAGACAGAGTCTTTCTCTGTTACCAGGCTAGAGTGCAGCGGTGCAATCTCAGCTCACTGCAACCTCTGCTTCCTGGGTTCAGGTGATTCTCCTGCCTCAACCACGCCCAGCTAATTTTTATATTTTTAGTAGAGACAGGGTTTCACCACGTGGGCCAGGTCTTGATCTCTTGACTTCGTGATTTGCCCACCTCGGCCTCCCAAAGTGTTGGGATTCCAGGCATAAGCCACATGCCCAGCCAAGACATGGCCTCTTAAACACAAGAGAAGATGGCCACTTTGAATACTGAGGGCAATGGGCCTGAGGATGTTATGGAAGAAAAGCAATGTGTTAATAGGTGGAGAGATACAATATGGCTAGAAAACAGTGCTGTACTCAGACTAGTGGACAGATTGAACAGCAGAAGGGGAAAAATGGAGTAGTAGCTTGAATTTGCCAATTTCTAAACCCTTTTACATTCTGTCATTCAACAGCAGCACAATCCATTTTAATGAGTGTTTACTGTACATTAAGGCTAATCCTCACAACAACACTGCAAAGTAGATAATGCTTATCTCCATTTTTCAGCTAAGGAAGCTGAGGTGGAGAAAGTGGCAGAAGAGGCTTCAGGTGGTGATTCTGTAGGAAAATGTGATATTCACAGATCGGTAGCACAGAAGAATCTAGGTCAGTGCTTTGGCTTCCTGCGGCTTAAACCAATGAGATAAGTTAAAATCTTAGACAATCCTAGAATATGAAGAACTGAAAAGAAAAGGTGGGGCGGGGAGATGCTGTATAAAATCCTCTGCAAGACCATGCAAGTGGAGAAGAGGTTTAGAAACAAGCAGTTAGCTGGAGAGACAGATGAACAGAAAGGAACCTCCTAACACGCCCTAAATACCAACATCAGGTAGAGAAAGAGCTGCCTGGTTGCCTTTTCCCATAGCCTTCATCCAAGCACACTGTTATGATTCTTCTTCTTCTTTTTAAAGCAGCATACACTTAGAGGGATCTTTGATCTGAAAGGAAAATCTTGAAATACTACCTACCGTTCATGAGGGCATAGGTGAGAATCATTACGGAGTTGTTTAGAAAGCTATTTTCTTCATTGATGACTCGGAGAGTTGCTTTTTTATCTTCTTCCGAAGAGTCCTTTGATGTAATGCCAGCTGACAGGTAAATGATGACCATGTCTGTATCTAAGCAAAAACACATAAATTGAATGCTCTATTTGGATTCTGGCTAAAGGCAGCTCCTGTTCATGTCCTTGGACTTCCCCACCTCAAGAACCTGCCTAGCCCATGGTTCCTACTTCCTCCCATTTGATGCTGTGGCTTTCATCCCCCCGCTTCTGCCTTTCTTCCACCCCACCCTTTCTGGACAATGAGGCGACATTTATGCAGCATCAGGTAAGGATGTTCCACATATATTTACCAGATAAAAGGAGGTGATTTCATTTAGGCACCCATGGTTATAGTAATTTAAGCCAATCCAAATGGAAATCTCTCCTGCCTTCCGAAACAGATGATGCAGAACGGGACTTATCCTTTCCTCTGTGATGCAGGAACACCACCATGAATGCTTGTTTCTTGAGGACCAGGCTTTAAAATGATGATTCTTTCAGGGCTCTTCAGGCACATAATGTTATTCGCTCCTGTACTAAATATCTCTAGGTAATTTTCATTGAAAAATCTCATCAGTAGAGCAGTGAAACATGGACTGAGAAGCCAGTTGACTGTGTTCAAAGCCCAGCTCTGCTACTTACAAGCTGCATCTGGATAATTGAGGCAAATTTCTCAACCTTTCTACACCTAATTTTCTTTGTCTATAAAATGGGAGTAATGACAGGACTGACTTAATAGTGTTGCTGTGAAGAATAATTGGTTATTTTAAGTAAAGACTATCAGCAAAAAGGTGATGACAAAAAGAAGGTAAAAGAGAAAAAAAAAGAAACTACAACATACACACAAAATGAAAACAAAAACCATGCCATTGGATTGAAGTAGCAGCCCTGAGTTAGAATTGAAATTATTTTCCAAACAGGGCTGAGAGGTAGAATAACTGAGAGTTAGGTTGGTCCAGTAGAACTTCTGTCAAGTGGATTGACTGAAAAAAACAAAGGTGATAAATTTCCTACAATTAGAGATAAATAAGCAGAGGCTAAATGACCACAATAAAAAGAGGGAAGTCAGAGAGCTGGACTTTTATATCCTCTTTCTAATCTGCAATTCTTTGATTTAACATATATGTATATGTGTTAAATATATGTTAAATGTGTGTGTGTGTGTGTGTGCTTGTGTGTGTGTGTGTATGTGTGTATATATATCTGTATTAAGACTGAGTCTTGTTTTGTCACCCAGGCTGGAGTGCAGTGGCATGATCTCAGCTTACTGCAACCTCCCCCTCCAGGGTTCAAGCGATGCTCATGCCTCAGACTACTGAGCAGTTGGGACTACAGGCACGTGCCACTATGCCCAGCTAATTTTTTGTATTTTTAGTAGAGATGGGGTTTCACCACGTTGGCCAGGCTGGTCTTGAACTCCTGACCTCAAGTGATCTGCCCGCCTCTGCCTCCCAAAGTGCTTGGATTACAGGCGTGAGCCACCACGCATGGCCTCAATATATATTTTTAGGACATTCTACATATTTTTTACTGAGAAATAAAAATCTATGTAATATGTTATATACTTATTTCTTCAGGTTTTGGTTATTGTTTTTTAGTTGAGGTTGCTCTAAAGTGACTGTGGCAGGCAACCTCAAACTTGGTCCCTTAGTGATTCCATGTCCTCCACATTCATTCACCTCCTGGGGTAGTTGCCTTCCTTGAGTGTGGCTGGATTTAGTGAGTCACTTATAATGACTAGAATGCAGCAGAGGTGAAGGAACATCAAGACCAAGACTAGGTTACAAAAAGACTGTGCCTTCTGCAAGGGGGGAGCTTTCTCACTCTGAAGAAAGCCAGCTGGCAGGTTGTAAACAGTCCTATGGAGAGGCATGGAACAGAGGCCCTTTGAACTGAAAATCCTGCCAGCACAAGTGTGAGTGAGCTTGGAAGCAGCTATTTCCCCAGTAGAACTTTGAGATGACAGTAGCTTTGGTCAATAGGTTGACTGCAATCTCAAGAAACTTGTAGGGCTACAGGCACCCAGCTATGCCATGCCCAGATTCCTGATATACAGAAACTATGAGACAATAAAGATGTATTAAGCTACAGAATGTTGGAATAATTTGTTACACAGGAATAGTTAATGAATACGGTTACCCTTTAAAAAATTATCCTAATGGTGAAGACACAAAGCTTGAATTTCCTTCAGTTTACACATTCCCATTTTAGACTTAAGTATTCTTTATTATGCAGAATTGAACAGTTAACTTATAATGTATGAATGTCATAGATAACTGAACTTGACTCTAAGAAATAAGTGCATTCAAAGTTCCTCTTATTTACTCCTAATACTTAATACCAATTTTGATACTTGAACATTCTCTAGTGAACATTAACTGCACATTTAAATTTCACTATTTAGTTATCAGAGATTAGGAAGTAAATGCTGATGCAAAAAGAAAATCTACACATTTCAGGAAGATTCTTGTCTTAAATTAGATGTCAACAAACCAGATGTCAATATTTTTTCAAAGTTGTATGTACAGTTCAGTAAATTATTTTATAAGGACCTTAAACAGTTCATTTAAACTTCAGACTGAAAAACACAAAAACAAAAATTGCTTGAGTCCCTAGTTGGGGGAAACATATAGATATAGATATAGATATAGATATAGATATAGATATAGATATAGATATAGATATAGCATGAGGAGGATCTATGGTATGACACAAACCATCTGCTCATCGCAAAAGTACATGTGATAAATTCCTGGACACATTTAGGCTGACCTAAAAGAGAACCCTAGTGTCTATTTTCTCACTTAGCCTTATGATTCTGCATAAAATACACTGTCATTGAGAGCTGTTTCTAGGGCAAAGGTCCATGTTTGGAAAGCCAGAAGGCTTGTAGCCCTTGAGGTCCTTTGGTAGCCAAGCACATTTTCTTTCCATTCCAACAATAAGACATACACTCTGTAAGTATCCCTGCTGGCTCTGCCCAACCCCTGACTCCATTCCCACCTTATCCTCAAGAACAATTGAGTTATTTTTCCATTCTTATCAGATCTGTCAAATTTGGTTTGATTTGTGTTTTTAATGCATTGGGATATTCCCTTTTTAGTCACCCAGTTAGAGCAATTTTAGAGGAGAGTAATTATAGGGACTTGGGGTAGAGTAGAGATGCAGCATGTAACTGGAAGAAAATGTAATAGCTCTCCATTTGGTGAGTCTCTCTATAAGCCACCAGGCATGTCTTGGGGTCAACATCAAAAGGGGAAGAGCAACTCAAATTTGGGCTTTGTCCATACCATTAGGTCTCCACTCTTAACCATCTTTAATTGAGGTTCATTATGATCCTCAACTAATCAGCTCCGAAACAAATTCAGAACAAACAACTCCAAGATGTTAATGCTGTCAGTTAAAGATCTACCATGAGACTGAAGAAAGGGTCAGAACTGGACAAAAGTTTTAGACTTTCTGGTTGGTACAAGGCAAATTAGTGTCAACCAACAATGATTTATGACATGTAGTTTATTTTTATATGGCTACCAATGTGGGCATACTAAAGTGTACTTTCATGTACAGACTAACACTTGCAATGATCGTCAAGAGTAGATCTTATTTATTTGAATAACCTCACAGGTGGCAACCAAAACAGGACCAGATATACAGTAGACATTAAATAATTGTCTGTAGAGTGAAGAGAAATAGTGATGTATAGAGTTTACAATAGAATAAACTTCTAGGAAGTGTATACAGACCCCTCGCTATACTGTTGCCTAGGCCACGGCCATCTTTGGGCCTGAGGTCAACTTAGGACATCTAGGGTATCTAATTTAGTTTAGCTGGAGCTAGAAGTCTTATAGGAAACTGAGTATCATAATAATCACAGCAAATATACATTGGATATTTATGATGGAATCCTGGATATTATCATCCCTCCATTTACAGATTAGGAATCCAGGTCTGGAGAAAATAAAACAATATAGACAAATTCACAAGGTTAGAAAAATTTCAGAGCAGAACACTGGTTGAAATCCATGACCTGCATAACTCCTGGGCTATACAGCCTGAGAGTACCCCGGGACCGCTCTTTAACAAACTGGACAACGCTCATTCCTGAAGTCTTTTCTTCATACAAACTAATCTAGATTATTTTTTCTCTAAACTGTCAGTAAAAGCTATAAACTAGAGGCCAGTGAGCCTCAGATACATCTTACTACTTGGCCTAAAAAGGGCTCCTTTGAGCATTTAGAAAACTGTGCCTTCAAAATTTGTCCAAGTCTCTAATGGTCAATCTTCTTGCCATGTTTTTGTTTGCCAAAATTAAGAAAAACAAACACAGAAAAATCCAGAGGAGAAATGCCTCCCATCAAACTAGCCTCCTGCTCACATGCAGTGCAGGAATGTCTGTGAGAAGAGATTTAATGAGGTCTTTATTCACAGCTTTAAAGCTAGAACAAATGTCAACATTTGAAAATCAAGGGATTTCACATGAAAATCCAGATTTCTGGCATCTCTTGAAACAGAAGATCTGGCAGCACTGGGCAGACATTCCTGCTCAATGGACTGAACAGAGGAGCAGCTGCCCTCTGGATGGTGCATGCTCCGTGTGACCATGTTCTCCAACTCATCCTCGTTACCTTCCCCCGGCTCACATGTGCTGTCTGGCCACTGTGGGCATCTGAGTTTGCAACTGCTAGTCTAACATTTCTCTCCATTATTTGAAAAGCGTAATAATCAAAACTAGACTTTAAAGATGGTTTGATGACAGAATTTAGTAGAAAGAGCACGTCTAGTGAGGAACGCTGATGGATGGGTGGCGTTGACCAACAGGCCAATCTGCCTTGAGTACTTGAGTTCAGCCTTGAGTTCAGCCTTGAGTTCAGTAAGGGCAACTTTACACTCAGTCACCCCATAATATTGGCTTGTGGATAGCTGATGCTTGCCAAAGCTGGTAGGCCAAATTCTAAGATGATCTAAATGAGCAACATCCTGTATACTGAATGTGTGCATAACCTGTAACTTGCTTCTAAGAAGAAGAATATGGCAAGTAATGAGCCATTACTCCTGTGATTGTGCTACGTATCCTTGCAAAGATGGATGGATGTTTGCCGAGGTCCCTGATAAACTCACTTTGAGTTAATCACAAGTGAGAGTAATCTGATTAAATCAAGAGGGATAGTGGGGCTGATCTACTCAGACGAACTTGTTACAGGAGGGTCCAAGCCTTCTCTGAAGCCAGGGATTTGAAGAGATGCTCTTCCATTGGCCTTGAAGAAGTAAATGAAATGAGTCTCATAGTTGCAAGGAAATGAATTCTGCCAGCAAACATGGGAGCTCATGTTTGTTGAACCTTAGCATGAATGAACCTTAGCATGAACCTTAGGACTCTGAATGAACAGTAGTCCTGCTAATACTTTGATGGTAACCTCGCGAGACCCTAAACAGAGGACTCAGCTAAGCTGTACCCGGACTCCTGACCCACAAAAACTGTGAGATAACAAATGTATATTGTGTTAAACTGCTAAGTTTGTGGCAATTTGTTATGCGGAAACATAAAACTAACACACCATGTACCATCATTAGTTATAATTACAGTAGCTTCCTTCTTTTGAGGATCCATTATGTGCTAGGCACTATGCTTTGCATTAATCAGTGCTTAGCTTAAACACAGACACAATGAAGCGCCTGGAAATGTATTCTTTAAATTTATCTCAATAGGATACATTAATGTTTTCAAACAAAGAAAAAAAACTGTAAACAGATTTTTTTTTTTTTTTTTTTTTGAGATGGAGTCTTGCTTCGTCACCAGGCTGGAGTGCAGTGGCGCGATCTCGGCTCACTGCAACCTCTGCCTCCCGGGTTCAAGAAATTCTCCTGCCTCAGCTTCCCAAGTATCTGGGATTACAGGTGCGTGGCACCACGTCCAGCTAATTTTTGTAGTTTTAGTACAGACGGGGTTTTACCATGTTGGTCAGGCTGGTCTCGATCTCGTGACCTCGTGATCCGCCTGCCTTGGCTTCCCAAAGTGCTGGGATTACAGGCATAAGCCACCGCACCTGGCCTATAAACAGATTTTTTTTAAAATAAAAGGAAAAATGAAATAGATTCCTTTAAGTAGTTCCAAAGCATGAGCTCCATTTCAAATATCTTTTCCCTTACTTTAGCATGCATCCTAATTCCAGATTTTCTTTAATATATAAAAATTAAATTAGAGGCCAGGTTTGGTGGCTCATGCTTCTAATTCCAGCACTTTGGGAAGCTGAGGTGGGGGGATCACAAAGTCAGGAGTTCAAGATCGGCCTGACCAACATGGCGAAACCCCGTCTCTACTTAAAATACAAAAATTAGCCAGGCATGGTGGCGCATGCCTGTAATCCTAGCTACTGAGGAGGCTGAGGCTGGAGAACCGCTTGAACCCGGGAGGTGGAGGTTGCAGTGAGCCGGGATTGCTCCATTGCACTCCAGCCTGGGTGACAGAGTGAGATTCCGTCTCAAAAAAAAAAAAAAATTGAATTAGAGTGCTTTTGTACATCTGAAAGACTGTGCTCATCTAAATGACAGTTGGTTAGAAGAAGGAAGGATCAAGGCAAGAATTCCTGCTGCCCGCTTCACGTCCACGTGTGCACAAGCAGACATTCACTCTAAGTCAAAGAGGAAGCAAAGCTGACAATCAGCATTAGAAAGGATGTGGAGATTCCCTTAGGACATAAGTGCAGACATGATCTAAATAAAGGGGCAGGAAGAGAAGGCTCAGAGAGTCAAGAAATTGTACAGACCGACCATCTTTGATTGGGAAAGATGAGAAAAATCCAGTTAACATCCTAGTATTTGATGATGATGAAGACAACACATGACAATTTTATCCCAAATGAACTTTTATTTTTCTTTTGAGACAGAGTCTTGCTCTGTCGCCCAGGCTAGAGTGCAGTGGCATGATCTCAGCTCACTGCAACCTCTGCCTCCTGCATTCAAGTGATTCTCCTGCCTCAGCCTCCCGAGCAGCTGGGACTATAGGCAATCGCCACCACGCCCGCCTAATTGTTTTGTACTTTTAGTAGAGATGGGATTTCACCATATTGGCCAGGCTGGTCTCGAACTCCTGACCTTGTGATCTGCCTGCCTTGACCTCCCAAAGTGCTGGGATTATAGGCATGAGCCACCCCACCTCACCCCCAATCAATTGTTTTTTTAAATCCCTCTATGCTGGGCACGGTGGCTCATGCTTGTAATTCCAGCAGTTCGGGAGGCAAAGGCAGCTGTATTGCTTGAGCTCAAGAGTTTGAGATCAGACAGGTCTCAGTCAGTGAAACCCTTTCTTTACCAAAAATACAAAAATTAGCTGGGTGTGGTGGCGTACGCCTGTGGTCCCAGCTACTTGGGAGGCTGAGGTATAAAGATTGCTGGAGCCCAGGAAGTCAAAGCTGGAGTGAACCATGATCACGCCACTGCATTCCAGCTTGGACAGAGCAAGACCCTGTCTCAAGGTAAATAAATAAATAAATAAATAATAAAATCTCTCTAAACATCATTGTGTGATCAATTTACAATATATTCCTATTGCCATCTTTATCTATTATGCTTGTAAGTCCTCTGAGAGAACACACTCACTTGCTTGGAACTTTGTGTTATTGTTTGTGCTTCGAATCAGCTGAAATGCCTTTTGGAATCCCACTGCGTGCTGGGTAGGACTGTCTGAAGACTTCACGTTGCTAACAAAGGTAGACATTTTCCTTTTTGTCTCACTGGTAGCTGGAGACAAGAAGGTCTTATAGCACTGGTCTAGTGAGCAGGTCCGGACAGTATCTGCCACAGTTAACACAGAAATCTGCAGGAAAGAAAACAAAACAAAACAAAACAAAACCTGTTATCCTACCATCTAAAGATTTATTTGTTTGTGTAACAGAAGAGCCCAAGGAACGAGAAGGCCTACAGAACAGATTCTGAGAGTTTCAAAACAAATCCCTGAAGCCATCAATCTATCAAATTTGAAAAGGATCCATAAGGACTGGTAAAGTAGGGAAACCCCTAGAGTTTGGTTTTTGTTCCAAGATGAAGTAGTAGTACTGTGTTCATATATAACATTAAACACACACACAAACTATTTTATGCAGAGAAAAGTCATAGCAAGAATGAACTATCCTGGTTTTCAACCTGGAGGTGAGGGTGAGGGTAAGAGAGTACGGTGTGTGTGTTTTAAGCCACTAAGTTAGTGAGCAAAACCTCTGGAGTTGGCAAAGTCAAAATGATGAAGCAGAAAATGTCCACACGCAATAGCTTATCATTAGCTGTACCCACACCTCTCTCCAAGGTGTCCCAGAGATTAGTCAGCCACTAGTAGCTTTCCCTTCTCCCTGACTTCCCAACAATCTTGTGATAAAGTTCAGCCATCTACCAGCATCTAAATCCCCTACCCCTCTCCTCCTCAGCGTAACCTCCAGTGTGAAAGTCATGGCTAATTAGAAACCTTACCATGAGCCATAAAGAAGTATAAGACTAAGGTTGGTGGTAGTTACAAAAGAGATTTTTGGATTGGCGGCTGCTTCCTCAAATATTAGAATAATACTCTTTTCCTAAAGTCCTTTTAAAGATGGATTTAAAAAAATATACAGATGGTCCCTGACATACAACGGTTTGACTTTATGACGGTGCGAAAGCGATAGGCAGGCAGTGAAGCTGTACTTTCAATTTTGGATCTTTTCCCAGGCTCCTGATACTCTCTCATGGTGCTGGACAATGGCAGGGAGCCACAGCTCCCAGTAAGCCATGCAATCACAAAGGAGAACCGCTGATACAGTATTCTGCAGTGTACTACTGTATTCAATAAACTACATGAGATAGCCAATACTTTATTATGTTATAAAATAGGCTTTGTGTTAGATGATTTTCCATAACGGAGGGCTAACCTAAGTGTTCTAACAATGTTTAAGGTAGGCCAGCCCAAGCTATGATGTAGCTCAGGTGTATTAAATGCAATTTCAACTTATGATAGATTTATCAGGATGTAACCCCATTGTAAGTCAAGGAGGATCTGTTATATCACAAAACAATAAAGTACTTTAAAAAAGGCATTCAAGGAGAACCTCATGCCATTGGGGTCACAGGGGTCACGGTCACCTTGTCATGTTCATCGATGGCACTGAGGATGACCTGAGCAGCGTCCTTGGCAATCTGAAGCTGAGTGTCTGTGACTGAAGCCCCGTGGTCCAGAATCACGACTATGTGCTTTGACTGAGGCCGGACTGTAGAGACGTAGATGGGTCTGCAGGGAGAAGAAGCTCTCTGGGGTCAGTCTTGGTTTAGGTAAAGGGCCTCAACACAGCTGTGAACATTACAGTGCACGGGCATGTTGGTCTCTGTGTTCTCCCAGAGATGGCACAAGGATGGAGAGATCCACATGGAAGGAGAAACCATACTGGTGCATTGAAAATAATACCTAAGGCAATAATACCTAAGACAACAAGACAACAAGGTGTGTCTGTGGAACAGGTATGGGTAATTTATGCCTTTAAAGATCAAAGCAGACAAGAGACACTTTTCAGCAGCAAACTCTTTTGGAGGCTGGCTTCTTCAGCATCACTAACATCCTGCTTTTCTCTCTCTCTCTCTTTTTTTTTTTCTCAGAGAAAAGCAGGATGTTAGTGCTCTTTAACTCAATGCATTCTGCACAGCTCAAAACTTCTAGTAGTTAAAATCCTCATATAAAATATGCACAACCTCTGCTTGGTATTGCCTGGTGTACCTGTTTTGCTAAAGGGTGTGGATGTGGTGGCCCCTTGGGCTGAGAGATCAGTCAAGGAGAAAAAGGTCCCCTCACCATGGCTGGATTATCCTCTGCAGACTTGCAGAGTGGGGCTTGGCTAGAAGTGAGGCAGGCTATAACCCATGAGCATGCTGAGCAGCTTTGAATGGCAGGTTTGGTTCTTCTCTTCTCATACAAAGGCTCCTGCTAAGAGGCCCCTTTCCTTTCTGGACTGAAACAATTCACATAGGTCAGCCACCAAAAGGCCCCTTATCTGAGCATTTAAAACTGTGCCATCAAAATTTGTCCAAGTCTGTGATAGCCACTCTTCTTGCCAGGTTTTTGTTTGCCAACATTGAAAAAAAGGGGGTTGGGGGCAGCCACAAAGGAGAAATGCCTCCCATCAAAGCAGCCTTCTGCTAATGTGCAGTGCAGGAAGGTTTGTGAGAAGAGGTTTAATGAGGTCTCTATTCACAGTTTTAAAGCTGGAACAAATTAGAAGGAGTTTAAGAAAGCAAATCAGCCTCAAGAGAATTCTCTCCTTTACTGACACCCCTAAAACACTAGATTTTCCTGTGAAATGTTAGGTGCCAGCTGAATCACAAAAGCCTGGGCACAAATTAAGAAATGTAGGCAAAGTACCAAAAAAACTGAAAATCTGGCCAAATTTACACTAGTTGTTCTCAAGCCCAAAGTCCTGCAGTAATTACTAAAGTACCACTATATTTTCACTAGTCGATACGATTGAGCCACTAGGGAAATGGAATAAAAAGAATCCAGGAGAGGTAGCTACAGAAATGAAACAGAGAACAGAAAAGAAGGAAAATCTGATCATCTCAACACTGACAAGTAGGTCAAATATTTAACTTTTTAGATTCTCCAAGCTAGGTGGGTGGATTTTCTTTAAAATGACACACTTCCTTTGTTCAAATTCAATTCACATAAATGAAACTTGGGATATGTGTTGGCATCGTCACATTAAGTTGTTAAAAGCTGCTTTAGTGGGATATATAAATAGTGATGTTAAATGCACAAACTGGGGGGAAGTCCTCATAGAATGACTGGTATCCACCAGTTCCTTTCTTGTGTTGCTATGTCCTGAAATCCATTCCATACTTGCAATGAATGTAGAAAACTTGGAAAGGCATCATAGGAAAGCAGTTAGGACAAGAGATGCGAATCACAGTCTATGAGGAGAGAAATGTGGATTATTTAGCCAAGGGAAAAGAGGTTCAAGGGCTAACTAGTGCAGATTTAGGGTGGAGATACATGAAAACTTTCCAAATTGCCTTGTGTTGGTGAATGCTGATTTTGACAAAGTTTCGCTTTCCTTTTTAAACTTTCCTTCACGGGTGCTTCGTTAAAATCAGCAAGCCACCTAGCCTATCTCTTCTTAGAAGCAAATGAGAATTAGATGGTTCATGGTGGCCTTTGTTCTCGCGAGAAGCCATGGTCATGGCTTCTGGTCCAGTCTCCAAGACACTCAAGTCTTCACCAGAATGTATGGGGAGGGAAAGGAAGAAACTAAACACACAATAAAAATATCTTAGGATGGCTGGGCACAGTGGGTCATGCCTGTAATCCCAGCACTTTGGGAGGCTGAGGTGGGCAGATCACCTGAGGTCAGGAGTTCGAGACCAGCCTGGCCAACTTGGCGAGACCTCATCTCTACTAAAAATACAAAAATTGGTCAGGCTTGGTGGTGGGTGCCTGTAATCCCAGCTACTTGGGAGGCTGAGGCAGGAGAATTGCTTGAACCCAGGAGGCAGAGGTTGCAGTGAGCCAAGATCGTGCCATTGCATTCCAGCCTGGGCAACAAGAGCAAAACTCCTTCTCAGGAAAAAAAAAAAAAATCTTAGGAAAAGCACAGATGAAGTATTTTCCTTGGGGAAAAATTCTGGATACAATTTAAAGTGAAGATGAAGGGAAGCTAAAGTAATTGTGTAGACTCCAGAAAATGGTGTGAAAAGTAGGTGCCCTGCACTACAGCTCCAGATGTTCTGGCATCAAACATTTGACATGGCAAACAGGAAACTGCCAGGATTAAATAGGAAAGTGTACTTGCTTCGGGGGGTTCTATAATTAATGAGTCTTGTCATACAAATTATCTCACCATTATTGCCCTTCTGGCTACATGGTAGAATCTCAAGTCATGTCTGTGAGTGAGAAAAGCAAGATGTTAGTGATTTTTAATCCAATGCTTTCTGCTCACCTCAAAACTTCTAGTAGTTAAAATCTGCATGTAAATTTCATGCAGTATGGCCAAGCATGTCATCACAGAAAGGGAAGCTGAGTATAACAAATTCTACTCTGAGATATGTTATAAAGTTATGTTCAAGGGCTGCCCTATAGACAAGGTACCATCATTCACATTTCAACAAAGAATTCTGAAACTCAAAACACTCTAGGTGCTTCACACAATTTGACTTCATGAGTAAGTACTTTTTTTTATTTGGCATGTTACATAGCTATAGAAAAGCTCTGGATTTTGTAATTTGCCCTTGCCTGGAATTTCACATCCACACATACTAAATGGTGAATTCATTTCAGAACAAGTACAAATTTCTGAATCCACAGCTTAGAGGCACAGCCATGAGTAGAAATGAGAAGTCTTATCTTTCATGTAGATCACTCTTAAACAATAATTAAAAACTTCAGAATGCAAGTCAACATACCTACTGCGGTGTTCGTAGCTGCCCTTACACCGGAACTTGTGTGCTGGGAAAACAGTGAAAATTCCTTCTTCTGAACTGAAATACTGCCACTTAATTCCAGGGTTGGATTTCAGGTTGTCTGCAAGAACTAGAGGGGTGAGGAAAATGAAGTATAACCACCAAATCCACAGGTGCATGCAGGCACCGCTTCTCAGGCATCTGTTTTGCATAAACCACTTGTAGTATGAAGAAATCCCACTAGATACAAGGTTGTAAATTTTCTATGAAACATGTTTTCTGCCCCTTAAAAAATACCCTAAGAACAGAAAATACAATGTTTCAGCTAAGTGAAGCTATTACTCTTAATATTGTACCATGACATTATATGTCTTGGATTCTTTTTCCAGTACAAATGATTCACTTGCATTAATCTCTCCCTGCACTGAGCTGGCCCCTGTTGGGTCAGCACACACTAGTTGGCTTGGGGTGCAGTCTGTAACTGTAGAAAACAGTGATGTTAATAGGCTTCATCGCGAGAGGGACTAGACCTGTGACCTTAACCTTGCCTTTGCTTTACAATGAAGGAAACAGCATACATGGTACTTAAAAAGGCCATCATTGTCTGGTTAAGCTGTTACTTACGGAATGATTCCTCTGTGCCAGGTGCTGGAATACAGGCTTCCTTATGCTATCTCATGTCATCCATAAAGCAACCCCAAGATGTGGGTGGTATTGTTATCACTGCTTTAGAGTCGAGAAAATATGCTGAAGTGATTTGTCAAAGACCTCCTCAGTAAATGGCCAAGCTGGGGTTCAAACCTGGCTGTCCTGACTCCTGTGTTCCTTACATCATGCTGTACTGCCCCCCTTTATCTATACAGCATTCCTACCGCTGACCTGCATCTGCCATTCCCTCAGCCCACCTTGTTGTATGCAATCCTGTCCCACAACCTCCATGAAGTCTTTCTTACCCTTTCCCGCAATCAGAATTTCCTCTCTTTTCTGAGCTCTTAGGATGTTTTGCTCTGCTCCATTCTGACTCAGCTACTTATTACACACTTACTACGTGCTGGTCACTGCTTTACATTTGGCAAGATATATAAAGATGAGCACAAAATAAGCCCTATTGTAATAACTGATAAACAAGCAGAGTTACACAGATGGAAATGGAACAAAAACAAATTCAGTTGCGGGAAGATTCCAAGCAAACGTAAAAAGGAAGGAATGCGTGAGGTGTATTTGACCAGAAAATACATTAAGCTTTAAACACCCATGTGATCAAATAAGGATCTGTTTGTATGACTGTAAGGGCTGAGGCTGAGATACGACTCTAACAATGATGAGGGATCTTTACTTCTGCCGTAGACAAAGAGCTTTCACACAGGATATTTAAGTTTCGCAAAATACTACATGATATGTGGTCTTATCTTCAGATTGCAATGAAGAAACTGAAGCTCAAAGAAATTAAATGGCCCTTTATAACACTGCCATGTTTTATTTTCTTCATAGCATTTATCACCATCTGAAATATCATTTAATACCAGTTCATTCTTCTCTTCTCCTTCCCCACCACCAGTTAAATTTTAAGATGCAAGCAATGAAGAACTTGGCCTTGTCCCCCCTATAGCCTAGAACAATGCATGCACAGTGAGTGTAAATAGTTCCTACACAAATGAATATCCACGGCTAGTAGGTGGTAAGATCATGCTTTAACATAGCTCTTCTGACTCTGTGTTTCTCACTAAATCCTTCGGCCTCAAATAAAAGTGGGTGTGCTAATTATGGCATTATGTTTTTATACCATATGTAGCATCAGGAATTACATTATGAAATGGGAGCTGCAAAGTTTCGCAGGATATTGTGGGGGTGATGGTTCCCTGTGAACTCAGGTGCAACAGTCATGTGCCTGCCTCCTCTCCTCTAGAGCATCATGAACTCCAAGAAGGTAAGATGATGATCTACTCTGTCTCCTTGGCACTCAGGACAGTGGCTGTGCTGTTCTGCAGGTTTGTTATATTAGCAGGACTGAATTCCTATTCTATTTTTTATTTAAAAATTCTTTTGAGACAGGGTCTCACTCTGTCGCCCAGATGGGAATGTAGTGATGCAATCACAGCTTACTGTAGCCTTGTTCTCCTGGGCTCAAGTGATCCTCCTGCCTCAGTCTCTTGCATAGCTAAGACTATAGGTGGGCACCATCACACTCAGCTAATTTTTTTTATTTTTGTAGAGACAGGGTGTCACCATGTTGCCCAGGCTGGCCTCAAATTCGTGGCCTCAAGTGATCCTTCTGCCTTAGCCTCTTAAAGTACTAGGATTACAGGCATGAGCCACCGTGCCCAGCCTCAAGATTTTATCTGAGACAGACAGGCCTTGCTTTCAGTCTCTGCTGTCTCTAGTTCACTGTATTTATATCCACTATTATTCTGATGTCTGCTTGGCTTTGATCAACTTTTCATGATTTGTTCTTGGCCTACCATGGGCAGGGAACAGCTTTTAGGAATAGAGGTAAGGAGAAAAAAAATATTAAATCCTTACCTACAAAAGAAAGACGAATTCAGGGAGATTGGAAATACACACTAAACTTTTAATTAATTATCACAGTATCTGATTAAGAGCTTGGGTGAGGTACAGAGAAGGGCTATGGAAATCCAAAGATAGGAAAGATCTACCTGTGGTCATTGAGATGGTGTTGGGAACAAGTCCTGAGTGAGTACCTATGACCGTCTAGGCATTATGCTAGGTGCCTTCTACAAAGTATGGTGGACTTTTGCCATTTGGGCATGTACTTTGAAAACATACCCACCTCCCAAGATGACCAACGTGCAAGAGGAGGGGAGTGAGAGCTTTGCAGCAGGGTCACCACAGAGAGTGCTCAATTAGCAAGACAGGAAGCCAGAGGCCAAGTTCCTCTCAATGACTTGTTAAAGGACAGTGTACATAAGTGCACAGCATGTGCTGTTGCCATCTACATATGATGTAGAGTGCGGAGTGACAATATATTCAACTCCTTTCCCTTTTTCCATCCGAGTGAGGATCACCACTTTTAATGTTTTATTTACTTTGCAGGGGTCTTTCTGCCATTAGCAACATGTTATCTGAGGACTACCTTTTTGAGCCATGGCAAATATTTTGATTGTGTTCCAAAAATTAACACATGTGACAGTCATTAAACTTTGTGGTTGGTGTTAAAATGCCAGTTCCATCTTTATTTCTAGCATGTACATACTCAGGTATGACTTTAGTGCTGGCTCCACCTATCACTGGAACAATTTCAAAGCATGAGGCAAAGATAAAGACATTGGTCAATAAACCTCATTTTAGACTAATCGTTAACAATAACCTACAAAGAAGAAAATGCTGGAACAACATGTGACTATTCCATAAAAGTGCCCCATGGTGATGCCTGTGTCAACCTGCCCACTCCCAGAAACATATGCCCAGAGCCAAACAGGGTCACACCTATGTGGGGTCTGATGAAACATAATGGAGACTCGACTCTAGCAAACATCTACCTGGCATCTGCATGTGCCAGCTTTGTGCTAATGCTCCCACATATAGCATTTAATTCTCACCTCAACAAACCAGTCTTTTAACATGCACTAAAGTTTCATGAATTTAAATCAGAATGGAGTGAACTCCATAGACATTTAGGAACACTTTTTTAAAATTAATTTTTTTTTTTTTTTGAGACGAAGTCTCGCTCTGTCGCCCAGGCAGGAGTGCAGTGGCGCGATCTTGGCTCACTGCAAACTCTGTCTCTGGGGTTCATGCCATTCTCCTGCCTCAGCCTCCAGAGTAGCTGGGACTACAGGCGCCTACCACCATGACCAACTAATTTTTTTGTATTTTTAGTAGAGACTGGGTTTCACCGTGTTAGCCAGGATGGTCTCAATCTCCTGACCTTGGGATCACCCGCCTCAGCCTCCCAAAGTGCTGGGATTACAGGTGTGAGCCACTGGGCCCAGCCTTTTAATTTTTTATTTTTATAGATTTAGGGGGTACAAATGCAGTTTTGTTACATGGACATATTGTATAGTGATGAAGTGTATAGATTTAGGGGGTACAAATGCAGTTTTGTTACATGGACATATTGTGTAGTGATGAAGCTTTTAGGGTAACCATCACATGAATAGTGTACATTGTACCCATTAGGTAATTTCTTTTCCTTTTTCTTTTTCTTTTTTTTTTCCCTGAGACTGAGTCTCGCTCTATCACCCAGGCTGGAGTGCAGTTGTGCGATCTCGGCTTACTGCAACCTCCGCCTCCTGAGTTCAAGTGATTCTCCTGCTTCAGCCTCCCAAGTAGCTGGGATTACAGTCATCTGCCACCATGCCCAGCTAGTTTTTGTATTTTTAGTAAAGACAGGGTTTCACCATGTTGGACAGGCGGGTCTTGAACTCCCGACCTCAAGTGATCCACCTGCCTTGGCCTCCCAAAGTGCTGGGATTACAGGCGTGAACCACCGCGCCTGTCCCCATTAGGTAATTTCTCATCACTCACCCCACCTCCCACCCTCTCACCTTTCCAAGTCACCTTTCCAAGTGTCTATCATTCCACTCCCTCTGTCCAAATGCACACATTATTTAGCTCCCACTTATAAGTGACAACATTCAGCATTCGACTTTCTGCAGGAACACTTTAGAATTTCCACTCATCCCCTATCCCTCACTGCTTTAAATGACCAGATCTCTGTATAGAAACTTCCCTTCAGTCTGGTACAGTGATTGGCCAACTTCTGTAATGGGCTGGATAGTAAATACTTCTGGCTTTGCAGACCATAAGGTCTTTGTCATAACGACCCAAATCTGTCTTTGAGAGGGCAGACACAGACATTTATTTGTAAATGAATGAATGGGCTGTGTGCCAATACAGGTTTATTTACAAAAATCACTGGCAAGCTGGATTTGGTCAGCGGTCCTCCAACAAAGCTATGCAAAATGTACTACACATAGGACTTAAAGCATTTTCAAAGCCTTAGACTTTTAGCTATTACACCCCTTGCCCTCCCCAGATCCCTCACGCATACCAAGGGGCTGTAATACATTTTGTCCTCACAAAAGTCCTAGGAATAAAAATTAATTATCTCCAAGTGACAGTTGAGGAAACAGGCTCAGAGAGCTTGTTTTTGACATGCCTGAGGTTTCA